TCTTATTATTATTATTAAGGTCTTCCGTCTTCAGCGGAAGACCTTCTTGTTATTCTTCGGTTTCTTTTTCACTTTTTTTCTTCTATATTATTATTCTTTTTTTTCTTACCGATTTTGTGCACGCGATTTTTCGAAAACGGCTAGATGGATTTCCATGAAACTTTCAGAACTTATGTAACATTACTTGAACCTGATACAAATTTTTTTTATTTGATGACGTCACTTCCGGTTCGGAGATATTGTCGATTTTATGATTTTTTAAAGGGTCGGGTTGTCCGCAGACTTTCTAACAAATGGCTCTAGATAGAAGCGTGAAACTTTCAGGCATGATAGTCCTAAGTCTATAGATGTGCGTAAGGTATTTCATTTTTATCGGAAGTGCCGCACGTCGGCGCTCGCTAAGGCCCAAAAATAGTCCTCTCGTGAATTTCAAAATTTTTAACACTTTTTCCACGATATCTTTTTACCTGGAGATATTTTTTTAAAACATATAGAACAAAAGAAGAGTAGAATTTCAAGATCTTTCAAATGATATCTCGAAAAAAGGGCTGGCCCCTAAAATTAAGGGCCCATACGGGATAAAAGCTTTTCCTAAATATCTCAAAAAGTATTGAGAATTTGTAATACATCAAAGAAGCAAATTTGTTCAAAATGTCAAGCTTTACCTATTGGAGTCGTCAGAATACGTCCGGCGACGTCACTTCCGGTCCAACCGGAAGTAGTCAGAAAATGCATATTTTTGCGATTTTTGACATGTTTTAGGGTAATCTATGTCACTGGAAGCGTAAAACTCAATTTTCCGTCCGTCGACATCTTTTCCGGTCAAACCGGAAGTAGCAAACAAATGGCCTTATTTTACAATAATTAACATAGATTTGGAGGATTTAAACCATTTTTGAACGTCATTACTAATTTTTTTTTTTAAATGAACTTAACTTCCGGTCAAACAGGACGGAAGACCTACTCGTTGCTTTGCAACGAGCTTTGCTCTAGTTATTATTATTTTTCTTCTTCTTCTTCTTCCTGGAACTTTTTTGTCCGGGAATGATCTTGTAAACTGTTCGTCCGATGTAGGTAAAACCTTTTTAGGGTTAGTAGACATGTTATGTAGATTTGCGGAATCAAGGTCATTTTGCGCGCACGTGCTTGCAAGAGCGTGCACGTGCAACACGTGAAATGACCAATATAGTAGATATAGCCACAACTGTTCTATTTTTAGATGAAATGCTTTGAAACTCATAATGTGAGGATATATTAGTAGTATAGACATGACGACATGGTGAAAATAGCAAGATCTCACGCGCATGCACGTGCACTTCGCTCTGATTGGCTGCAACTAAAGTCTCAGTATCTTTCTTGTTGTTTGACGAAATCCTTTGAAATTTTGAACATAGCCATGCATTAGGATATCCTACAACATGAAATGAAGCAATTATCATGAAAACACGTGCATGCACGTGCGCTGCAATCTGATTGGCTGAAACTTTAAACAGCTATAACTCCCTTGGTTTTCAACCAAACAGAATGGGATTTGGAACAAAGATAGATATAATGGACTTCTACAAGTAGGTATGGTCACCATGCACATGCATACACATGCGTGTACATGTGCTGCAATCTGATTGGCTGAAAGTTTAAACAGCTATAACTCCCTTAGTTTTCACCCAAACGGGGTGGAATTTAGAACATAGATAGATGTAATGGACTTCTACAAGAAGGTATGGTCACCATGCTCATGTATACACGTGCGTGCACGTGAAATGAGTAAAATCAAACATACACTTGTATGAGCGTATTTTTTAAATAATTTTGGATTAAATACTTTAATATTCAGTGTATTAAAAATATAGATTGTGTAGACAAGATGATATGGTCATGACGCAAATGCATTCACATGTGCACGCGTGCAATGCTAAAGTTTAAATGATTTTTGTACACTTCTTTGTAAATGTTGTTAAAATCTCAGATGCATAGAGTTTGTCTTATTTAATGAAGCTTACAGGGAATATGGCCCCAAAAGGTAGTTGGGGATCCGGAGCGTTTGGGGAACATCTGTAACGGTCCCCGTTACAATTAGCGCTAGTTTTAATTTGCATTCGTTTACTTCTCAATCATTAACTGCGAATTAAACCCTCTATGTGAACAGGGCTTTATTGTGTTTTAAGGGATAAATATTCTGCATTTACAATAATAAGGGAGATTTGTCATATACTGCAACTTATTTAAGTTGCAATAAAAATGTATTGCAACTGCTTTCGTCTGCACATGTTTATCCTTTTGCTTTGAATTTACGATGTGACAATATACTGACTAATTTGAAACTCTTGTTGCTTTAATGCATAAGCATCGATCTTTTTATTTTCATTTTGAAGTTTAAAAGCATTGTGAACTGATATTTTTGCTGTAAATAATCTCTATTTTTTCTACCTCTGGTATGCCGTTGATAGATCTACACTTCGGTGCTCTTAGCTGGCATTGCCTGGGACCGCTTTTGAGAATGTGCAATGTCATGTGATCGTGAAGTCAGCGATTTTTTACATGTTTTTTTTTTAATGTCTGAGGCCTGTTCAGCAGGTAGAACGATCGCGAGCGCTCGCCAAAATTCTTTATACGTCCAATTGTAATTTTGGAGAGCGCTCGCGAACGTTCGCTCTGCTGAATAGGCCTCTGTCTATTTAAACGAAGTCAAATGTATGGGCAGCGGAAAGGGCAAAAATAACATAATGAGAAAACAAACAATTATTTTAATTTCAATGACCATAAAAACTTAACAGATGATATACAATGCATAATCAACAGACCTTTTTTCAGAACAAATATACATTAAAGCAAAACCAACGACCACGTACGTTACAAACATATATGAATGCAAAACCAACTATCATCTTTGCAGAACAAACGTACATAAAACACGACAAACGAAAAACAACTTAACAAAAAGATTGCAGTTCACTTATCCTGAGTGCCATGTATAGGTATGAAGAAATTGTGATCCTCCACCTACAAACAACTAGCATGTTTATATAAGATTTGTTCCATTTCCTTTTTGCTCTGGTGAGTTGCAACCATAATGCACACTCCTGAAATAATTGCCCTTCTTTCCCCTTCTCCAAGACACGTTATGATTGTTTCTCTTACAGGTTCTATGGATATTGATTGCAGTAGTCAGGCAAGCCTTTTTTGAAAAGCTTTTAGTAGAATGCATGTTAATCTCGTGCGCCCGTCTTTAGGTCTAACGTCAGTTAGCGGGGACTATTGAAATTGACAAGGGATGCATCAATGTATAATGAAGGGATTTTGAATAATTTTAAATTGGTTTATACTCAGCTAGAAAACGATGAAAGTGAAATGAACCAAATTGATATAAGATTTTTAACAAATAGGAAGCTTAATAAATCATTTTGTAACTGTAAAGTTTTTAAAGAGTTATCTGCCCTTGATGAAAAATAGAAAATTTAATTTTGTCGAAATATCAATGCTAAATGATTCATTTTATTTCATATTTTGGTAAAAAAAGAGTTTATGCATATATTCATCAAGAGATTTGTATGAACTCTGCATAACTTTTTACAACATTTTAATAAAACATTTGCTCTCTATGGAAATATCAATGTAAAATCTGAAGTTAATTTAATTAAACAATAATTAAAATGTTGTTTATTCCTTCATTATTTATTCTAAAACACATTCAACACGCCATTTCTGGCTTTTCGTTTATTATGTACAAAATATGGTCGTTATACATTGAATGCCATAATTTAAATCTATTAGAGAATATTTCATAGTAAACTTACAATATTATTCCAAAATGTATTGAAAATATAAGGAATCACTCTTAAGTTTGTTGGGTATGCCAGGGACATCAATGATAGTTGGAAACGAGAGATAATTTAAGCATAACGGGGTTACACAACGGACTAATATAAATGTCCAATACATGAACCAAGAATATTTTAAGGCACCTCAAACAACATTAACATAACATCAATTTATTTTATGAGCATGTAGAGGACAAACTTAACTAAATTCCTTCCATTGTTCATCTTATTAAACGTTGTAAAACCTTACGAAGTATTGTATAAATGAAATTTGCCTGAACGTGTGGAGAAAATAACTGTTTTCAGAAACACTACAGAAACAGTATATTTAGTATAATACAAAAATATGTACATATGTAACAACTAATGGGTTTGTGTATTCTAATTATGCAAGTCGGCCATTGAGGATCTGTGATTGGCTGAAGCAAATCACATGACCTAAAACAAAGATATATAATCAAGCGCAGCTAAGCGGCGAGGTTCCTTTTTGTCCAGGTGCCAGACGGAAGAAGAGGCAGATTTTGGCGATATGGTTAGTTGGGTGGGTGGCCTAGTACTACTGAGGCTTACCACAATATTTTATCAATACTAGGTGGATTGCCTGACGATGAAGGCTTGCCACAATAAAGAAGATAGTATTGTGTGACTAACCATCTAGAGGCCGACCATAGAGGGAAGTCAACCCTCAATGGCCTGCCTGGTGACCTCTCTAGATAGTGTAGGTCTCTGATAGCAGTGGATGACTGTGCGTCCTGAATAAGGACAATTCAGTATCTTCTGTTGTCAGAGGCTGACCACTGGGAGATTGGACTTAGCGTCGTGACTGACACTACGAGCCTGAATAAGGCAATATTGGTGTCAGCTCGGTGCTATTGGGCGAACCAGTGATTTTGTAAATATAAGGCCGACAATCAAGTGTGATTTTCCCCTAAGAAAGGGAAGGGCCATATCTGTATATATTTGCAGACCAATCATTAAACCAATCATTTTTAAAAGGAAAGTTATTTATTGTAAATATCAATCTTTACCGAGATCCTGGAATCAACCAGGTACGACCCCTAAACACGTTACAAAATTTGGTGGCAGCGGTGGGATCTCGGTTTACATTTTGATCATTGGTTGATTTTTTATTTGTAAATTTTGCTTTGTATTTTTATTGCTGGGTTGTTTTTGTAAAATATGATGGCTGCTGTTGAGAAGGAATTAAAAAGCTTACAAGACAGCTTGTCAGAAAAAGTTAAGAAGGCAAACGCCAATGATTCAGGCATACCTGAAAGCAGGCGTACCACATTAGGTGATAGGTCATACAAAGGGACTGGTGCAACACCTAAACACATAAGGAAAACTACCAGTTTCCTCGAAGATGACGAGCCTAGCTTTGCACTAACGGAAAATAAACAGACAAGCCTCAAACCAAAGCAAGTATCCAGCACGCCATTCATTGATACCCCGGCAGTACTCAATGATTTTCATGCAGACAATGTCACAAAAGAACTAAATAAACAAACTTTTAAGTTTAAGTTAAGTTTGAAAAAAAAGAAGAAAAAAAAAAGAAAAAAAAAACCTTGGTAACATTTTCCTTGGTTTACATGCGGGTCGCATGTCATCGAAAGCGTGGGTAATGTAACAACTAATGGGTTTGTGTATTCTAATTATGCAAGTCGGCCATTGAGGATCTGTGATTGGCTGAAGCAAATCACATGACCTAAAACAAAGATATATAATCAAGCGCAGCTAAGCGGCGAGGTTCCTTTTTGTCCAGGTGCCAGAGGAAGAAGAGGCAGATTTTGGCGATATGGTTAGTTGGGTGGGTGGCCTAGTACTACTGAGGCTTACCACAATATTTTATCAATACTAGGTGGATTGCCTGACGATGAAGGCTTGCCACAATAAAGAAGATAGTATTGTGTGACTAACCATCTAGAGGCCGATCATAGAGGGAAGTCAACCCTCAATGGCCTGCCTGGTGACCTCTCTAGATAGTGTAGGTCTCTGATAGCAGTGGATGACTGTGCGTCCTGAATAAGGACAATTCAGTATCTTCTGTTGTCAGAGGCTGACCACTGGGAGATTGGACTTAGCGTCGTGACTGACACTACGAGCCTGAATAAGGCAATATTGGTGTCAGTCCGGTGCTATTGGGCGAACCAGTGATTTTGTAAATATAAGGCCGACAATCAAGTGTGATTTTCCCCTAAGAAAGGGAAGGGCCATATCTGTATATTTTTGCAGATCAATCATTAAACCAATCATTTTTAAAAGGAAAGTTATTTATTGTAAATATCAATCTTTACCGAGATCCTGGAATCAACCAGGTACGACCCCTCAACACGTTACACATACATATACATGTATCCATTGAACGATCAACTAAGTCTTAATAAATCATCTCTACATAAACAGGAGATTGTCTTAAAGTTTTTTTTATAATGTTCATAGAATTTTTTTAATAAATGGATATAACGATTACAGGGATACAATAAAATGAGAAATAAACTCCTAAAGCATAGTACTCTCGACATAACGCTTTTAGTTTTAAGGAAGAGGAAGATTGCCTAATATGTTCTTCTAGCAATTCTTAATTCTGGTTCAACTAAGGGATTTATCAATCACTCAATAGCTCACAAATTAAAACAGATATTTTAAAATGCACAAATTATTAATCTAAGCAATTGAATAGATGCTCTCATAAAATCAATTTTGCTCCAATGCTGTGATTAATTTTTATTGAAAATAATATTCATTCATATGAGTTACTTATTTATTACCCCTGCATGTATCTATTGTATTTTGATAAATGTTTATTTTTTTTTTCAGAATGTGAAAAATGATTTATATATTGATGATGTCTCTGGAAAATCGCTTTCAGCCATAAAAATATTTTCTCTGTCTATAAAATACCTTAAAGATCATTGTCTCACAACCATGAGGGAAAGAGGAATAGAACCCGGAGGGACGGAAATCAAATATGTCCTGACGGTTCCTGCCATTTGGAATGATCGTTCAAAACAATTTATGAGAACTGCAGCGGTTGAAGTAGGTTTGAATATGGGATCTCCTATCATATGTAGTTGGAAATTATATTTATCAAACGAGTTGTGTGGGTTTTTTTTAATCTCCAAACACTGGCAAGGGGATAAAAACACACAAAGAGTTGGATAAATGTCATATCTAACTACAAATCTTGGGAGATTCTCTTTATCCCATGTTTAAATTTAATGCTTCAAAAGCAATTTTCTGAACTGTTTTTATAATCATAGGACTCCACTTTAGTTGGCGTCAATACGTTAACGTAAAAAACCATTGTGATGTCATAACTGTGGTATATTTTAGTTACCGTGTTTTTAGTGACAGGGCACGGTATGATACCTGTGTGGCAACGCACTTTGAAAAAATTACGCACATTAAAAAATAATTCCAAAGTGCGTTAAAATTGGGACAAAATCAACGCACTTTGAATTTTTTTTCAAAGTGCGTTAAGAGTGTACATAAACATTTTTACCATGGGTACATTTAACACAGTTTGATAAAATTATATGTATAAAACAAAAAAAATATAGACTTAGCCAATCTCTTTTTTTTTTCGAATACATTGTACATAGACGTCGGTAGCACATTAAAAGTGACCGCCTCCCCCTCCCCCCCACGGTAAGCCGAATTTTCAATGCCTATAATATGTTTATCTTTGCAAAACATTTGTGTGACTAAGCCCCCAACCCCTACCAAGTAACGATGTCTATGTTACACATAAATATATGTATTTGTATAATTAGTATGACATTGAAAACTTTCAATAAATTTAGTTTACATAAAATGCATGCAAACTGGAAAAAAAATAATCACAGTAAAACATTTAAGAGAGAACGAATTTTCAAAGCATAGGAAATCAAAATTGTTCACTTTCTCATCCTGAAGTAACCTCATCAACGAAGAGTTATCAAACAGATTCAATTATTTATCATACCTACGATTTGCAAGAATATTGACCAAGCCATACACATTTTTCTTTTCAAAGTGCGTTAATATGGTCGATATTAACGCACTTTGAAAAGAAATTGTATTTTTTCAAATTGCGTTGAGTTGGTCCCAAATTTAACGCACTTTGAAGTTTTTGAAAGTGCGTAATTTTTCAAAGTGCGTTGTAACATACCTGGTTAGTAAATTTCATGCCTGGCGAGGCGGGGCCGAGTCATGTATGAAATTTACTGATCAGGTATCATCCACTACCCTGTCACTAAAACACTATGTTACGCATTTATCCTACCGATGAACATTTACGTTCTATCTGTGGTTTATAAATGATTTTCTCTGCTAAATGCTTCATCACTTTTATACTGTGCCTATTATGACGTCATGTTGTGTTTGTTACGTAATATATCGACCGGGTAAACATGGGATAAATATAAATTATGGATTAATATTGATTTTTAACTCAACAAATAATCTAGAATATCAAATTCTAAAATTCCACTTTTGACATTGAAGTAAAAAGTATTGTACATATGTACATGGGATAATTATGACCATATTGCTTATACAGGCCGGTATAGGAAATGATCACATAGTGTTAGCTTTGGAGCCAGAAGCAGCTTCTGTTTACTGTCAACAAGTCCCTCTGGAAAATCTAAAGATTGGAATAGGGAAAGTTATAAGTGTTCCTGGCACTAGATACTTAGTTGCAGATATTGGAGGTATGCTACAAAATTTAAGATTTTCCAATACCCTATATTATTGATATAATAAAATGGTTATTGTTTATTTCATACGTGCTCATGTGGAGGATAGATTCCATAAAAAATATATGTTTTGTCCACGGGTAGGTGCTTTATTAATAGCATTTCCTCATGTTAAGTAGTCAGTGTGCGGGACCTCGTGACCTTACCTCATCTATTACATACATGTAATCTATATGCCAAGGCATAGGTCTAATTAAGAATGCACAATTCACAAGCATAAATCCTATTGAAAACCTCACAATAAATTATTGCATTAAATACATGAATATAATTATAATTCTAATATTTGTTGTTTTTTTAGAGTAGAAATCGCAATCCCTCAGTCCTTACAACTTTAAATTTAAAAAGTTGTTTGAAACAAATCTCCAGCAGATTGTCTCATATGTTTTGATATACGAAGATATCAAACATCAAAGATTAAATATTTTGTATATGAACTACTTTTTTGAATAAAGATCATAAGTACGACGACATCAATATTTTGTGTCATTGAATATTTCATTCAATGACATGATTTCAAAAGGGTTATTTCTATTTTTTAAAAGGAAATTTTATGAAATAAAATGAACATTTATAATTGTGTGATTTGATATTTGCTTTATCCATCTCGTTGAAATTCTGTATATTGGCTCATCTAGCCTCTCGAATATTCATCATTCACCGAGTAATTTGAAAGAAAATATGAGATCACATTGTATAAATATCTTCTATATTCTTGCTGACTGTGATGATATCTTTCAGGAGGCACAGCTGACTTTAGTGTTCATGAAGTTGACGAGGATGGGTCATTGACAGAGCTCTATCGCGCGAGTGGGGGACCATATGGAGGGATTTATGTTGATAAAAAGTACTTAGAAATATACGATATAATTTGTGGACAAAAAGCACTTGAAAAGCTCAAAATTAATGATATCGAAGAATATTTGACACTACTCAGAGAATTTGAAAGAAAAAAGCGCTCAATTACTCCAGAGTTTCAAACTTTTTTTGTTACAAGGCTATCACTTATATTAAACAAAATGTGCTCGGAGGAGGATAAATTGAAAGCTATTGAGTCCTCCTATTTAAAAGATCAAGTCAAAATTAAAAATGACAAGCTAAAAATTTCTGCCAGCTTGATGAAGAGTTTTTTCGAAGACTCACTAAATCAGATCATCCAACATGTTTGGGAAATTTTGCGGAATATTCCAAATTTAGAAAACATACTTATTGTTGGAGGATACGGCGAATGTAGCTTGTTACAAGAAAGATTCAAAAAAGAGTTCCTGGACAAAAACATTGTCATACCAAATGACTGCAGCTTGGCTATTATCAAAGGAGCAGTGCTATTTGGACAAAATCCTCGGGTAGTCTCTGCAAGAATTCTGCGTTATTCTTATGGAGCAGCCATACAACCAATATTTAATCCAAAGAAGCATCCGGACGAAAGGCGTTATATAGATAAAAATGGCATTGAAAGATGTAAGGAGGCTTTCGATCAACTGATTGCTAGAGATACAAAAGTGCCCTCGACTGGAAAAACAGTGACTAGTACAGGAGTTCCTGTTTCTAAGTCACAGAAAAAGTACAATTTAAGAATATATTGCACTGAGCAAAAAAATGCAACAGTCATTGATGAGAGCTTTCAACTTCTTGGGAAACTTAAGATTTCTGCACCTGATTATATCGAAGGCAAATGGGAAGCAGAAGAACATTACACTTTCGGAATGACAGAAATCAATGTATCTGCCACAGTAAAGGGAACCGGAGAATACATTGAGACTACATTTGACTTGCTCGAATAAACTTTTAACATAACAGATCATAACACAATTTATTCTAAGTGCATGTATACCTGTATATTTTTAACCTTTTTAAAATAAGGCCATACTGAATGTAGATACACCTTTTATCTAGAATCCATAGAGGAATATGAAATTTTGGACAGACATTAATATACTAGTATGTAAAGACCGATGATATTTTCTGAAGTTTACTAGAGTCTCTATGTAGCAATTGAAACAATTTCAACAAAATTAGTTTTATTGTACATCTATAAATAACGCGAATGAAACCATCTGATTATGTTCAATATTACTGAAATAAAATACCTCATTTATTGAAATAAATAGTTTTTGCAGTTCACTCATCTTGATGTGTAACAGTGATACCCAAATACATGCGTGGAACTGCGTGTTAATTATGCCCGAAGGAGATTAATTAATAAATACTTTAGGTGTCGACACAGATTTGGATGGTATACAATTGCATTGCTTTTTATTAATCGGCCAGGTTGACACATACAAGACAATTAAGACATAAATCTCAAGTCCTGATCTCTTCAAATGTTTATTTTTCAAAGAAATGTACTTTTAAATGACTTTTTCATTGAATACAAATTAATTCCTAAATGAATCCCGCAATAATTGTTCACATTTCTTCTGTGACAATGAATGGTCAAATAATTTATTCCAAATCATATTTAGGCTTTACATTTGAGGGCAAATTTAGAAAATGGTTTAGTTTTAGTTACTTTTTTTTTGGGGGGGGGGGCTATTCCCCTAAAATAAATCCATGCACAGGTAGTACGTACGTTGCTCTGAATATCTTGCTGAAATAACATGTTTGGTTTTATACATGTAAGAAAACAAGTTTGTTTTCGAAGGTAACAGTCCCGTGGGGATCCGGGTTAGAATAGGTCCTCAGTACCCCTTGCTTGTCGTAAAAGGCGACTAAATGGGGCGGTCCTTCGGATGAGACCGTATAAACCGAGGCCCCGTGTCACAGCAGGTGTGGCACGATAAAGATCCCTCCCTGCTCAAAGGCCGTAAGTGCCGAGCATAGGCCTAAATTTGCAGCCCTTCACCGGCAATGGTGACGTCTTCATATCAGTAAAATATTCTGGAGAGGGACGTTAAACAGTATACAATCAATCAATCAATCGAAGGTAACGTAGGTTTTGCATGAAAGAGATCCGTCAGGGGCAAGAGACTGTATGTGGCAACTAGAAAATATACAGCTCACTACCGGCAAGTTGTGGCGTTTCAAAATTGGTGCATCTATCTACATCAATTCTTTTTTCTGATAACAGTTTACACTATTTGACTTTATTTATCTGACAGAAGCAATTCTTTGACATAAAAATACATTGTTAAATTTTAAAGATATTTATTTACATGATATACTAAAATCACTTTCAAACATGCATGATAATAATACTGTACAGGAATAACGAATACCGGTATTAACGACAGATTATACAAACAAATTTTTTCCAATGGGAAGACTTAATACCATGTCGCAGGATTAGAAAAGTGGATACATCTTTATTTTTCTCAACCGACTCAGAGAAAGAAATATATCTCATATTTCCCCTTAAAGTACACAACTAAAGGTATCATTGCTTCATTCATAGAAAAAAAGGGTGTAGATGAATTAAAATTGAACAATTTTACCACGATTGCTCTAGTTGTGAAGGAAATAAGAAAGATATCTCTAATAATCACTCTCCTAGCCTTAGGAGGAAAGAAAATCAAAGAATTATATCCATGTTTCTAACCCATTGACATGAATTTATGTCGCCTGCAAAGAAAACATTAGATCTACATTCAGAAAAAAAATATAATCAGTTGTAAATACAATGACTTTAGTCATGTAAGTGATTAAGATTTTGACTTTTTTAATGTGTAATTTCTTTTAAATAAATGAGCAAAGAAACCTATAATTATAATAAATTATATAATGCACAAACAAAATTCTGCATGATAATATAATGCAAAATATGTTAAACACATATATACAAAAATAGCTTTAACTCTCTGGATATGCTAAACAAGTACATCATTCATGATTTAAAATAAAACGTATGTTTTATTATTAGTAAGGGAATGTATGCTGTATAAGTTGCAGAAAGAAATTGCATAAACCGAGTAAACGTGTGTCTTTTTCAGCAATAGCTGCAATTTTAACTCCAATACCACCAAAGAAGGACAATATAATATTGTTTTTTTTAAACTACAAAAAATCATTTGAAGTATTATTGATTATGAGTGACATCATAATTTTATACTTTTTTGTGCATTTTTGACATATACATCATTGTACGTTTCATTAATGAAAGACCCACTGTTCAAGAAATGCGTATAGGTGATTTACTAAGCGGTGTCTACAAATTGATAAACAACAATGGTTTTCTCATTAAAAAATGAAATGGAATATGCTCAATGGATATAAAATTTCCACAGCTACTTGTATTAGGAAAAGGAATAATATTCCTCGTCTTGTAACGTTAAAAAAACCAAGACACGAATAGCCGACTTGGTATTTCAAATAAAATTAAAATTATTTCTTTATATAATGGTCCTTCGTTGGATGAATTTTAGGAAGTGATTTTGGTGCTTAATCAAAAGTAAATTTTTAGTACTTTTGGTAAGTGTCATTCTACTGTTACACATTCCGTCTTTAAATTTTTTTTGTAGAAAAACCCTATTAACGTACATGTTCTTTCAGAATAAAACCCCTTTGAACAATTTATTTTACATTTATTTTCTGATATACCGCATAGTAGTACATGTAAATTTTAAACTTCTTTTAATTGCACTAAGATATTACAACAATTTTTAAAGGAGGAATATCTATGTTGATTAAAATTCATTTTTGATCAGTATTTATTTTCACAAAATCTCCAAGTCATTTCATCCGTTTCTTTTTGTGTATTCAAATATGTTGATTATAAAGGACAGTGTTCATTTCTTATCACGTGAACGCTCTGTAATTCTACGATGAACTATATGTAATGCTTAAAAAATAATACCTAGTGATTATAATTTATTTTTGGCTTTGATGAAAATAATGTAACATCAATCAAGTCAACTTTTTGATGACGAAATTAAAATATAAACAGGAGATGTTTATACGTTGAGTATTCGTTTATAGTAAAGTCATGTTAAAGATATGCTTTAGATTATTTGTCCTGCTTATGAAACATATGGAGATAACAAACAGTATTTAAAATCAAAAGTCCATTAAACAATACAAAATAGGAGCAGAGTAAATACGGACCTCCAAAGCATTGGAGATATGAATAAACAAAACATCACTAATAAAATACCTGATGGCATTTTAGGTGCCATACTCAATCGTGCAATTTCACTGATGAAGAATAAATATATAGGGAATTTTAAATGTAAAGAAGAAGGTATGGTTTTACCTTTATCGTGCCCTAAAATTTAATGCTTTCAAAAAGTTTTAAAATTGGCTTAAATATAAATCGAGTTTATGACTGTGATAGATCAGATAAAAATATGACATAATGGAAAACCATTCTGGAAATATGACGTCATTAATTTGATGCATTTCTCTACTTTAAACAGGAAATGCCTGAAAATGACTCATTTCAAGGGTAATTTCCCGTGGGGATCCGGGTTAGAATAGGTCCTCAGTACCCCCTTGCTTGTCGTAAAAGGCGACTAAATGGGGCGGTCCTTCGGATGAGTCCGTATAAACCAAGGCCCAGTGTCACAGCAGGTGTGGCACGATAAAGATCCCTCCCTGCTCAAAGGCCGTAAGTGCCGAGCATAGGCCTAAATTTGCAGCCCTTCACCGGCAATGGTGACGTCTTCATATCAGTAAAATATTCTGGAGAGGGACGTTAAACAGTACACAACCTTCAGAAAATAGTGTCCACAGCCGTTGCCCAGTTTACTTTTTGGATATGTTGTACAAAATTCAATGAAAATTCACATATCTAAAAATCTTTGTGGGCAATGCTTGTGGACATAGTTATTTGAAAGAAAATTCTTCTGAAAATGGGTGTCTTCTGCCACTTTTTAAGAAAATACGGAAAAATTCACATGTTTATGACGTCACAATTACCATTTAAAAACACATGGGAGACAAATGATTTGTATGTTTTTTTCTGCATGGAATTTCAATGATTCAGAAAACATGAATTCTTATCTTTTATTTAAGATTCATTTTTAAGAAAATCATTGGGCAAGAGTTGTATTGAAATCATACCTTGCTCTTTAGACAAGGAGCAAAGTATCCATAGTACACCTACTTTTTTTCTTTAAAGGGAGGAATTATCAAAACCAGAGTAAGATTTGGAGAGATCACGAAGCATTATCGCCTTAAGATTTATTTTCGATTCCATCGGATTCAGTGGTATAACCATTTTTAGTTCTATACCTCCTTTGATGAAATTTCAGATAAAGGTAACCCTTAAACAATGTAATGTGTAGAGGTAACGCTCCTATTGCTACTGCAATACTTGCATAAAAGTACCAAACATCTTTGTCTCTAGTTACTGCACACCAAAGCGTAATCAAAACTGCATTTTCAATGTAATAAAACATGTAAAACATTATTGTAATTCTTGATTGCATTTCTTCCTTCACGTTTTCATACAACTTATACTTGCAAAAGAAAAACGTGTTTGCAAAGCTACCAAGCAACAAAAGCATAATTTCACGTTCTCTTTCAAATGCATCTAAAACTCCATTATTATAGCCTGCAACAAAAGCTATTCCAAAAGTAATTAAAATATGGACAGCAAAGAAAATAACGGAGTAAAATCTAAACTCAGAAACAAACAATGCTAAAATTATAACTCTTGGTCCAATTTCTGCTATGCGAGAAAGAAAAGACAAAATTTTCGTTGGTAAAGTTAGCTTACTTCTGTCACCTTTCTCAACGTCATGTTTAAAGTTGTACATTGATTTTGCAAGTCCCAGCACTGATCCAACCAAGGTAATATATCTGAAGTATTCTACAAAGGGATGTTTTATTTTAAACAATAAATATGTACAAAATTTAATACACATAAAGTACGGACCAGAAACAACCACAGATTGAGACAACAGGTTCTCTGTCCATGTTTGCTGTTGTTCCCAGAGCGAATACAGAGCAAACATCAGGCTGATAGCAAAGCCCAGTTTGGGAAGCGCATTCAGAAAACAAACGCTGTTGTTCGTTTTCCTAAATAATACGTGTAAGGAAATATGAAGAAATATGAAATCCTCTTAGGTAGCTGACTCGCCTGATGAAAATCCGGGAGTCCGTAATTTATGCATTTTTCACAGATATGTATCGCTTGTACATGTAGAATATTCAAAGATCAAACACCGATGTACATTGCATTATGGTTATTAAAGAATAATTGATTTTAGCTTACTTGATTTTGTCTCCCCATCGTCTGTATTTTCTATGTTGATAAAAATTTGTACAATGATTTGTGGTGCAGACTCAAAGGTTGTTTCAATCAGTCCTAATAAAGATGCCATTCTTACAAGTTCTTCAGATCTTTTGTGCATTGCCCCCACGGCTAAAATTCCAGTCAACCTGAAATTATAATTATAGGGGCACGCACATAAAGTATTTGTAACTACATGTATATTTTCTATAGAAAAGTAAACATCGTTAAAATCATCATTTTTTAAGCCACTACGTTCCTTTACCCCAATGCTTACATTTGTAATGAGAGGCATGGTGTAAATTCTCTCTCTCTCTCATTTGAAATTTATTTCGAAATTATGAAATAAATAAGAGAAAGATATTACAATCATGTACTTACAAAAATAGTTGGATAAATGGTGAAAAAAATAAGCAGCTAAGAAAAATCAATTTATTAATATAATAATTTTCATTTTTTCTTTGTGTGTTATCCTTATCGTCTTTCTTTTCATCATTCTCTTTCTTCTGATCATCATCATTTCCATTCTTTTCATCACATTTATTTTCAGTCATATCTTCTTTCTTTTCATCATGTTTTTTCTTCTGATCGCTATCATTTTCATTCTTTTCATTACTTTTATTTTCAGCTACTTCCTTCTCTTTTAGCACTATTAAAATTATTGGTATAATATGTACTAAGGCTGGAAATATAGTAAATATCAAAGACAAAATAAAAGCCTTAGTGTAATTTTCGATGCAGTAAATGTATGTCATAGCAATATCACTCACAATATCGGCTAGAAAAAGAATGATTTTTATCAATGTCCGTAAGATGTGTTTCAAACAGTATTTCGAATTTTCCGCATAACGGACTTTTCCTCTGATCCTTCTGAACCAATAAATGAAAGCTACTAAGCATGCGATGATAGTTAATCCAACAACAGTCGAGGAAATTATTATCAGGTCATTTGTGATAAAGTGAACTGAAGTGAAACCTGTTAACAAAAAAAATATTATCATTATTATTATTTATTTACATGTAAGTACACATGTCTGATATTCATAATGATACATTTCTAACACGTTAGATCTCTTAAGGGGGATGTACGGCCACATTTAGTGCAGTGAGAGCAAAATGTAAACATTTCTTCAAATGGCTAAAATACATTATATTTTGATCAAATTTTAAGTCTTTTTGATAAAGATACAATAAATATGCATAACCGAATGCATGTTGTGCATAAATAATCTATACTTTTGCAGAAAAATGCTTTTGATATGCTCCTTAGAACTGCGCAGCTACAGAATTCAGCAAAGCCTTAAAAAATCCAAAAAAATATGCAAACTGTGCATTAATGTTCTCTCTACAACCATTTGTTGAGAAAATGTCTAATTTTTGCACTTTTAAATGAAAATTTCAAGTTCAAAGCAATGTACCATTGTCTTCAAAAAGAGTGTAAAGAACCATGAAAGTAGTTCATGGATAGCAGCACGTGGTCTATTTTTAGCACAGAATCTTGTTTTCCAGACCTCTTCTTAATATGGAGGGGCATAACAATCTTTAAATGTAGAAGAGAATTACAGTTGAAAAATATTCCAAATAATATATGAACACTTTTAAAAGAGGAAAGGTGTTATAGTGTGGCTTGAAGTAATTTATTTAGTATTATTATCGAACAGTTTTTATATAGTTTACGCATTGATATTAAAAAAAATTAAACTCTTTGATTCCAGGTAAGGAAAAATGAGCACCATCAAAGTTAAAAATTAAGAGTTTGTAAGTTTGCCACAGATAAATTATATTATCTATTAAAATTTAATTATCTACAATAAAACACAAAGAAATTAGACACATAAGATTGATACGAATGACCTTGTTTTAGTACCTCCTAGTACGAAGCGTTATCAAAAATTTCGCGAAATATCTCTATATCTACAAAACCACAGTTCAGATTAGATAGCCAAACACAAGTTCTATAAATAGCATATGCTGAAGTTTTCATCCTTGTTTGTGATGTCAATCTGAAAATGACGTCATTATTCAGGTACTTTTGACGAAAAATGGTTGTCTCAATGGAACTCGTGGCACATGTATATCTTAGAAATGCCTTTGAAGTAGCGTATAAGAATTTGTTCATGTGAAGCAGTTTATTAAATGGCTTCCTATAATTTCAATCAATGATTGGATATCGTTTTAGTGAAGGAAGGCAGATGGTTAAATATGATACTTGTTATGTTGCCCGGTGAAAGCAAGTTTGAAAAGGGATGTGTTTTTAATAAAGCAATATGTTATCAAAGACCTTCAATTAAAATTTTACACTTTGAAAAATACTTCAATATTTCAACAATAATAAATATCAAATACCTAAGATATTGTTTATTTTTTGATCACCCCTCGTATATTCTGTCAAATAAACATGCATTTATAATTTTCATCACAGAGGAGCAACAGTTGAAAAGGCATGAAATCATTCAGAGTGGGTTAGGAGATTTAATGAATAACTTTTTTTCTATTTGCCCATATTTTCAAAATTACAATTGTACAAAGTAAAGAGAAAAAATCAACCTATAAACATCTTTAAAATGATGTTTGGTGGTCCTCCCAACTCAGGGAAAGATTATTGGGTCCGTATTTATAGGTGAGAAAAAAAAAATCCTTAAAATTTAAACAGAATTGTTGACGGAAGAAAAAGAAAAAAAATATCGTGTAATGGAATGTTAAAAAAATGAGTCGGGTCATTTCTAGGCAGTATTTTTTATTTTTATAACAAGTGGTATTATAAGGCTAGTACATGTTCCATCACATACTTAGTAATGCAATTTTAAAAAATCTTTGACACTATTTTGAAAAACAAACATAGGATTTTCGGGGGAAAGGGGGGGGGGGGGGTAGCACTCACTTTTTTGCGATGATAGACATAGCATATATGCAATGGACCTTTCTTTGCAAACATTGTGCTCGCTTCTAAATTTCATAGAAACAACTCATTATATTTTATTAAGATTCGCATGTTCAATGAGCGAGAGCTTACAACGTTGTCAACATAATGAGACATGATGCGTTTTTGTGTCCAAACATTACTCCATACAATGAGTGGGTCATTGCAAACATTCTTGCTATTTATGTGAGGTGCCTGAAGGATATCCTATAACTGCCTATTTTTTCTATCTAGCTTCTAAACAAAATAGACATATGTACCAACTTTTCGAATGTAAGACATGTAATTACAATTTATTTTTCATGCACTGCATATTGTTTAACATTTTCAAATTAAATGCTAAGCATCCTCCTTGCAGTGCCCCATTTGAAAATAACTTCTATCGCCACAGAAAAAAGACCCAACGTAAACACATATGTTTAGGACATTTTTATCTTTTTTTTCTTGAGTTTTAAAGTAACCAACAAATTATCAAGACTTGTTCCATAAAAATTAAATATAATCATGGTAATAAACGGATTCATCCACAGCAGATATATGCAAATGCCAACCATGTGCTTAATGGATTAATATTATCGAGGAATTTCGAGTTGTAAATAGAACAATTTTTCCCGATTTGCTGGAGTGAGGTTAAAATCGCGTTTTTTCATTAATCAGACGATGCGATGCAACAAATAAAAGTAGTAAGTAATATTACCTAATGATTATTACTTAGTAATTTCTTGTCTTGATGTTACTATGGTCGCATTTATTCTAAAATCATTGTTATTCGAACTCTGTGTGACAGAGGAATGGCGGACCAAAATAAACACATGGCCTCAGGAAGACACCCATATGAAAAATCAAATTTTCAAGAATTATGGATAATGACAAGAAAAAAACGAAACAAATGGTTGTAGCCATATTATCAATGAATCAAACTAACCCCATTTTCAATGCATTTTTCATCTCATGACTGCTGTAGCTGCGCAGTTCTAACATGATTAATTTTCTTCTGATTAAGACAAAATAAACTTAATTGTTTACTAATTTTGGTCTCTAACAGTAGGTAATTAGTGCATTAGCACTTTGAGTAACTTTGGGCTAGTTTGGTAGAGTATTAAGCGCATTCTTGGTATTTCTTAGTTTACACCAGACTAGATCAAATATGGCTTGTACATCCCCCTTAACAATTCATTAAATTTCCAGTAATTGTTCAAAACTTTCTTCGGGAGAATAAGACTTTTTTGATAATAATTATAATAAACTTGATTTTAAATGGTCATACAACAGGTATTAATGTTTTCACGTGTAGCTTCGAAACAATTGTGCTCTTTAAAAATTTTGCTTAAGATATATAATTTCAGCCTCAAGCTCATTTTAGGTAAAGTCGAAAATTTTAACGAAGAGTACACAATTGAAGGTTTTAAAGTGAAGTATGGATTTGACATGTGGCAAAATCTTGTAATTGGTACATGTAATGGTATCTTGCAATAAATCTGTACAAATGATACCTGATAACGTATATTCTAGCTTCTTTTAAAGATCTATGGTATAGAATCTTGTTTTTCAAATTTTTTGCAAATAATGAAAAAAATTATTTGATTAATCAATATTTAATAAAGGAATAATTATTTCTAGATATGGAGGAAATTGATTGGAATATTACTCTGTATATTATTTGAGATTTCAAAGTTTTGCTTAACTTAGTCTCAGTATCTCAGTATATAACACACTTAAAGGGGCATAGACACAGTTTCAACTAATTTTTTTTTTTTTTAATTTTCATAAATATTCAACTAAGGTCTTTATATTGATTATTAAAAATTTGAACTTCAGTTGTCCAGATACAAGAGAGATTTAGAGCTCCAAAACTTTTTTATGTAAACAGGGTCCGTGTCATGTTTTGTTTACATACATAAATACACTAACAAATATTCATTCAAAACAGATAATTCGAATTAAGAATTTAATTCTAAATACAAATAGTCAGTTTCTATGATTTGCTGAATTTGATTTTGCAATTAATAAAATATTTTCTATATGTAAACAAAAACAAGGCACGAGCCCTGTTTACATTTTGAAGAACTATAAGTTCTGTATCTCGCTTATTAATCGATAAATGATGTTAACATTTTTGCTAATCATTAGATTATGCCTTAATTAGGAATTGTAAGGATTAAAATCGGTTTTAAAAAATTCAGTTAAAACTGTGTCCAAGTCCCTTTAAGCATGCACTCAAACGTAGATTTCCTTGTTTTCTGGAATACTTGAAATCAAATTTATTGATACTTTTCTTCTTTATTTATGTGCATTGTTTCTAAATAAATATTTTCCTATCCTGTTTTCAGACAATTTTTTTTTAAAAACGCGTGACAAAAAGTATGATTTTGCTAACTTAGCAGAAGGAGAACAGTTTCTTCTTTGAAACGTTTTCAAGCTGAGACAATTTTTAAAAAGAAGATTGAAATGTTCAATAGTTGTCTTTATAACTTGTTTGACAATTTTTCAGATGAATTGTATTTGATAAAGAATAATTTCACCAAAAGCCAAATTAAATATATTAATTTTACAGTATGTCAAATAAATGCTTAAGAATTAAACTAAAATTCCACAGAAAAAGTTTTTAAAAATACCTGTCCTATTCTCCTGATTGACATTCATATTTCTTATTCAATCCTAAAAAGAAAGAAAAAAAATGTACTTTTTTTGAAGTTTTTTTTATTACACTAAATGCTTAAGTATTTCCTCTTTTTTATGTTTACATACTGAAACATAATTATATCATAATAATTATAATTATATATCACAGTGTTAACACACAAACGAAGATGGAAACTTGCATTGTATATTTAAGTCGAATATTATTTTCTTTAATTGTCATAGTTGCTATACATAGTTATCACTTTCACCATGAATGAAAAAAAAACTAAATTTATGTCTAGATGAGTGGATAATAAAATTTTATATCCTATGATATTTAGCTACCTTTAAATCTGCTTAAGATGTTATCAATTCCAATAAAGATGTCTTCTAAAAACCTCTGCTGTAGTTGTTGCAGTTAGGACTATATTCTTCCGATTCAGTGTCTTGTGATAAATGATTGATTGTGTATTGTTATAGAAATACTTCCCGGAATTTTCAACTCATGTAGAGACTTAAAAATATTTCATTAAAAGGGTCTTTTTCTTGGAACCCGGGGCAACTGAACAGAAAGGGATCTTTATTATGCAATCGTCTTCCGCACTCCGGGTCTTATTTTTGAGGCTACAAAGACCTCGACCATTCCGCATGTGTATTAAGGATAAATTTATACATATGTGTTATCTCTCCATTATATAAACATACAGAGAGAAAATATCTTCAATTCTGTATGAAGTTTGTCAGAGGTCAGAGGTCAATACGTGACCTAATCACATGGCGCAATAATATCTACCGGTACATAAATTATGAAATGACCTGCTCTACTTGCTTATCATGTATAAAAATGAACAAAATAAGCAAGTAAAATGATAGTTATTATTTTATTTAAAATGTAAACAAGTATTTCATACAGTTTTGGGGCTAGCTATTGATTCAACGTGTATACAAAGAGAAAACTAGGAGCCTAGCGTTTGTTTACATTTTTCTTCACTTTTGTCAGCTGAACGTTCATCATATTTTGTGGTAGACCTTTGGTTAAATTTTCATGATAAACTTTCATTTTATCTTTAAATTTACTCACGATAAATGTGTAAATCTGTTGAAAAATATCATTGCAATCATGCCATGAACAGCTGCCAAACACCTCGGCGTTTTCTTAGTTCAATGTAGGATCTAAAGCTGTCGCCAGTGTCTCCATGTTTATCAGTGTTTTACGATAAGTATGCCTTTAGTTACTGAAACCGTTGAATGTTTTTGATCAAATTGCTAATTAACTGGCTCGGACAAGTGTCTCAATCCATCGGATCCATCCATCCCTTTCTGGCGACCGAAATTCCTCAAACTTTTTATCATCAAACTTCGGACGTGTTTCTTGTGTCTATTCAGCATCGATTATAATTTTTTTACGAGTAAAAATATTCACAGACAACAATCTGTTCACTATTACTGATCACAAGTAGCCTTTCACAAAATATTCCCTTCGAAATAGATTCCTTAGCCTAATGAATTTGAAGCGTAACCGCCATGCAAGCCGATTTACACCTTTCATTTTCAAAATCTACGACGGACGGTTAGTGCAATAATTTAAATTCGAAAATATTCAATTTTCTGTCTCAAATGTATATATAAGTAATAAATAACAAGTTTATAAACTTCAGTGGGAATTGAAGTGGGTCGGTACGTGATCAAATCTTCTGAGAAGGCCTTCGGCCTTCACAGGATTTGATCACGTGACCAACCCACTTCAATAATTCCCATTGAAGTTTATAAACTTGTTATTTATTTCTTAAGTAACACAATCAAAATTTAAGATCTTTCCTTAATCGGGTGCCACACTCACTTTTAATGTGATATGTCCTTTAAAACTTTAACGACTGAATGTTTGACAAAGCCACAAAATTTGGCAAAAATTGCAAAAAAGCAAATTTACTGTTCAATATGTTTTTCAAAAAGTTCAAAAAATAAGAAATATTACATGTGCCAGATTAACTCTTCTGTGTGGGAGAAAAGAAAATTTTGTTTGTGGTATGTATATCCTTAAATCGAAGTACAGGACATCATCGGATGCCCAATAGTGATCTTGTCTTTTACTCATTACTGGTAAGTGAAGGCGAGATCACCCGTAGGTATCCGACGCTTGGTATAGGGATTTCTATGCAAAGAGCCAATAAAAATGCATAGCATACTGGGAATATAAAAAAAATAATTGTTACACGAATTTTGTTCCTCCTCATTTGATTGAAAATAAAAAAAAACTTTAAAAAATTGAATTAAACTATGATTTTTCCCGTTATAAACCAAAACCAAAATATAACGGATAGTTACCAAACAACTGCAGTGTTTTTCTTTGTACAGCAATATCCAACATTCTTGGAATATCTTGATTATATTGAACATTTTGTGTCTTTGAAACAAAATAAGGTATGTAGTGCGCCGACCTTATTTGTTGATAATCCTTAAAAACTTACATAGAAAAGAAGCAGATACAGGAAAATAATTAATTTTATTCCATCGTCTATTTTTGCTTCAAGTACGAATCCTCATTTTTCTGCCATAATCTACTCTGCTCCGTTTTTTTTTTTTTTTGCCGAAAATGACATCAACAAATATTTGAATTGAAAATTAAGAGCATTTATTACAAATGCCAATAAAATATACAGCAGTATTGTTTGATATTAAATATATGTTACACCTGTCACAATAAAAAAAAATTAAAAACAACCCAAAAGGTACATACAATAAAAAATGAAATGCATATCTTAAATTTGCCTTAATTAATATAGAATAACAATGCATATAGATCTCTATAAATATGTACACAATAAAACATACATGACTAAAAATGACAAAAAAGATGAGACTTGATTAAAAAACATGCCCATACTTAAAATAAAATGGCAAAACAATTGGGACTAGCTTGAATAAAACAATATTGGCACTAACTTTATTTAAGTTCCTAAAAGTTATTGTAGAAAAAGAACTAGTAACAATCTTTAATTGACAACAAGCAAAATACAGATTGACAAAACATGATATGACTAGCTGCATTTGAACACATAATAAGCACCGGTGGTTGAAGGGGAGGAGGAGGGTCAAAATCTCCTCCCTTCTAAAATTACAGCAAACAATGATATTGATTCAATTGGTTTAAAAGAATTGCCCTTAAAGACTGTAATCGCGTATCACGTTTTTTTTTTAATTCTTTCTTAAGTCGAGTTGTTACTTTTTTATTACGTCAGATCTACATTGATTGTATTTGAATGACAATAAAATTGTGAATTCATTATAAAATAAATCTATTTCGAAGATTAGTTTTACTGATTCATTTAGATTCTATTTCAATCATATCGCAAATCTTTGACATTAAAAGACAAACGTCCTTTGGTTACACATTCTTTTTTGAAAAATCAATAAAATAATTGTAATGTGGATAACTTCAAAAGTATAATTCAACACTCATATATTTCCCCCGTCTACAATTAGCACCAACTATATATAAATTCATTTCTTATTATCAGTTTACATAAAACATGTGGTGATAATGATGTTCAAGTATCCATAAGACAATACAAAGTAGGAGCTCCAAGGCATCAGAGGATCAGGTGCCATGGAGGAGTGAGCATTCCCTGCTGACCGGTCACACCCGCTGTGTGCTCCATGTCATGATCGGGAAATAACGGAAAACCCGTCGTCAATTCAGTATATAAATAATGGACTTACAATTGGTATGAAAAACGTCAGTCAGCATTTGACTCAATTATATACGAGAAGTGATCAAAAAGTTCGTGAACTGATAGTGTGACTTCCGTAAAACGATTAAAATTACGTTTCAGTGTTCATTAGTTTTTGAAGTAGTCATCTTTGGAAATATTTGGAAACACGTGTTCTGAAAAAAATATCAATTTAAGCAATGAAAGCAGTTTTAGATATGACTGTATGATTAGATTTCAATATATTGATCTCTTTTTAAAACATCTGTTTCTAGTTTGTCAGTTATATAATTTGAATGGACAGGTAAAAACTACTTTGATTATATAATTCCCACTAATACTGCTAATTTTCTGAAATTAAAATGTTTTTGAAAAATGTTGAAATAAATGGAGTGTCAATGAAATGGAACAGATGTTTGCCACAAACTATTATATATTCATATTCATATAAGTGTTGAAGTTTAATGTTAGGAGGACTCATATATAGTAAGACTAATTTATTGTACACACAAAAAAGGTTGGTACATTTTAAATTTGTAATGTGTATACAATGTACGTCTACAATTAATAGTGTCATTTGCTTGAGAGAGAGAGAGAGAGAGAGAGAGAGAGAGAGAGAGAGAGAGAGAGAGAGAGAGAGAGAGAGAGGAGAAGAGAGATATTTATGAGTTAGTGCTTTTATTTCAGATAAAAATAAAGATTTCTTTGAGAGTCCATGTAATCTATCAAAGTTATTTGTAGGCTTTGCTTAATTGCAATGTGATGCAATTCTAAAGAAAACGGTCGTATTTGAATACATTCAGCTCAGATATAAATATGGTCTAAAAAATAACGTAGCACAGTTAAGGTTACAGTAAGGAGGCGGGGCCTAATTTGTACGGGAAATGTTTACTATGATGTCACGCATAATATAAGGTGTTCAGAATACCACAAAATGAAATTATTTGCTAATTCAAACAGCTGGATAGCTGTATACTACATACAACTTACTATTACATGCAGTTTTGTCGTTTGTTAAATCCGACACAACAGTATACAAACGATGCATCGATAGCAATGTATACTTGTCAATGTGACGTCATCTCGCAAAAAATGACGCAGTTTTTACACAGTGAGAGGCTGATCAAGTCACATTTTGTACAATGAAAAATGTCTTTTGTTCTCAAATAAAATATTATTTGCAGTAAAATAAAAACCCATTAACTTGGATGCGATGTCTATTTTAGTATTTTATTTATAAACTGTACGTGCATTCTCCAGACAAGCGCTTCTGTCGTGTGTTTGTATGCAGATTCATTGAAAAAATAATGGAAGGGCCCTAATAAATCGATTTATTGCAAGGGCATACCCTCAATGTATCTTGTCAAAATTTTACACATAAACTCAAGAAGGATATGGAAATAACGAACAGTATTCAATCTCAACGTCCATTAAACAAATATACAAAATAAGAGCAGAGCAAACACGGACCTCCGAAACATCAGAGGTGGGATCAGGTGCCATGGAGGAGTGAGCATCCCCTGCCGACCGGTCACACCCGCCGTGTGCTCGTTGTCATAATCAGGAAATAACGGAAAAAATCCGTGGTTAATTCAATGTATAAATAATGGACTAACAATTGGTATGAAAAACGTCAGTCAGCATTTTATTCAATGATAAATTGTATTTGCTGACAAGGTCATTAAGATATTTGAAAAGTGCTGCGAACCTCTTGAAATCTTGGAAATAAATTAATTATAGCTATATTTAATGTAGTTGACCAGCAAAATATTTAACCTGCCGTCCAACAAATTAAATTTTACCAATCAAAAAAGGAAATCTATATAGGTTCGCAGCACTTTTCACAAACTACATATAGTATTGAAAAGGATTATAAAATAAACTAAGATTTTTAAGTTGATTATGCCCTTGCAATATTGAAATTGATAGATGACCTCTAAACTGCCAGTATAATTGCCAAAGTCATGTGACGTCGACATCATATGACAAGTCTGAATAAAAAATCGAAATGTCACCAACATGTAGATTTAAACCACATTACATTTTTTTTATATCAGTGAATTCCTAAAAAGATTCGCCCATCCTAATAAAGTATGTATTTTTTATCTTAAAAAATCGCGGATATTTCCATTTGTAACCTTAACTGTGCTGCGAAAACATGGAATGTGAAGTAAATCATCCAAAGCAGGTCTATCATTTAAGAAATAAATAACAAGTTAATAAACTTCAATGGGAATTGAAGTGGGTCGGTCACGTGATCAAATCCTGTGAAGGCCGAAGGCCTTCTCAGAAGATTTGATCACGTACCGACCCACTTCAATTCCCATTGAAGTTTATAAACTTGTTATTTATTTCTTAAATATATACATTTTGGATCAGAGTTTGCAATCTTTTTAATTTTTTTTTTTGTTTTCTGTTAGATATCGTCACATTATGTATAACACATCAATATGAGCAAAACATTTTCAGATCAGAATAATAATGTGGTTCAATTTCATACAGTCGGATAATTAAATATTGTAAGATCTTTTTCGCATATGCAACGTATTATAAATGGCTAGGTCAAGTACTCAAGAGCTAAGCTTAACAAAAAAAAGCCCTTATTTTAAGGCAGAAACCGGTCCAAATTTTCAATTTAATTCTTCTTTTAAAATTAGTACATACAAGGGGGGATAGTAGCTAAATTGTTCATCCTCATTAAGAACTGACCTCTAATTTGATTATTTTTATAAGATTGATACTTGTATGTAATTGCTTAATCAATCAGTCTAGATAAGCTTCGTTTTTGTGTTTTCTTATAAGATGAATAGTCTGCCGCAACTGCTTCTGGGTCTATGTCTGGTGCTTTATTTTCAAATGGTTTTTACCTGGAAGAACGAATGGGACCGTCCATTAAACTTTCAGTGTCCTCTGCAAACCCAAGCCATCGACGCTGTTGTGTCATATCATCGAGATGATTACGAAGACAGGCGTTATGAACTCCACTGTGGAAATGTTATAAGAAGTTCAGATGTAGCTGTGAACTGTGAATGGACTGGTGGGTTTATTGAAGACAAATCAATTTTTAAATACTAAATTTCATGAAGTGTTTTGGAAAATTACAAATTGCTATGCAAAGACAAAAAAAAAACAAATACTAAGAAAATCTAAACATTTTTACATATTCAATAGTATTTTTTTTTGTTTATCATGAAAAAAAAGTGAAATACTAATTAACTTAGTACGTGGAGGGAAAGGAGAGTTTTAGTTCTTCTTATTTCGCATCCATTATATGTAGCAACATTTTTTAAAGCAATCTTATTAGCTATAATATTTGCTCGATGACTTTATTATATTCTTAAAGGATACGTCAACGACTTTGACCAAGTTGTCCATTTTCAATGTCCTGGTGCAGGGTACATTAATGGAATGGCAAGTTATCACCGCGATTCTTATGAAGACAGACGTCACAAATTTCGTTGCTGTGGACCAAAAAGTTCAAGTTTGTTAAAATGATTCTTTTTATTTTAAATAATGGAATTTTACATTGAAGTTTGAGGTGAAACATATTTGATTTCGTTAGGAATGTCAAGACAAGAATTTAATATTATTTTGTAAAATATAACATTACTAATTAATAAATAAAATCTTTTTTATCGACAACAGAGAGTCTAACACTAAGTAGCTGCATAATAAAATTCTTCGGCCCCAACATATTTGTACAAATAATTATTGAATAATTTAAGATCACTACCCATTTTCATTTCAAGAAAAAGCAAGTATAAAATATTTCAGTACATTTGAATTGCTTATCTTTAATTTCTTACGAATCACACATGATTTTTAAAACTTATTTAATATACATACTGAAAGCAATCTAGAAGGGAGAGAGAAGAGAATTCTTTGCTAAATTGTCCAGAGCTTATGCGATGAATAAGATTTCGTCGTCCATTTGTCTATATATAATCTCCATAAGCTATATATTTTTCCACAGATTTCAAGTCAACAAAACCTTCCTCACAACATACACAATTTTCTTAAATCAGTGTTTAATTTCGATGATGGTTTTGTCATGGTTGCTAAAACAGGAACTGTACATGTACATAGTGAAATACTTTGACAACTTTACTATCCGCACAAATTTGGTCTGATTTTATTATAACTTAGCAAGAATGTAAACTATAATACTAAATATAATTCTCATTCTTTCCTTGTTTATTCTAGTGTTAATTAGCGGTATCGCTACATAATTATATGTATGTGCTAAAAAGAAAAAATCATTTGAAAAAAAAATTGCATGAACTAAATGCTTGTAGCTCTTAGATTTAAATACATCTTAAATGAAGCTAAAAGCAGGCGACGGATACTCTACGATACAAGCCATATCAAATACAGGGAACATACAGGATATTATTAAATTCAAAAGAATACTCCAACTTTTTTCTTCAGATTACTATTACCGTAATTGCAGATGGACTGGATGGCTGAATAACTTTGATGATCCAGTAGCGTATTTTGTTCCTGACGGTTTTGTTTTGCGTGGAGTCAACAGTGTCCATAACGATAATTATGAGTAGGTCAATTATAGGATTATATGATTATTCTTTCTTATTCCTAAGCTTGTTTGTTTGTTTGCTTGCTTGCTTGCTTATTCAGGAAATGGCACATGTCATATAGCATAAGATAGACACATAAGAACATAATTGGCACATGGAATCCAAAGAAATCGTAAGATTTCGTAAAAAATACAATTGTAATAAAACACAAACATTATATCATAAAAGACAAGTATTTAAGAAAAACATTTAATTCAGTATATCTAAATGAGACTAGGAGAATGGCGGGTAACTATATAATTTTTGTACTAAGTATAGTCATATAGCCAGGATGAGCCATGAAAGCAATAATGTGCTTATTTCCAATGGGGTCCTCATAGATTGTAATAGTAATTAACCTACTTAGCACTAAATGCCATGGTTGAATAAGAATAAATAGAACATAAATAAATAAGACAATATGTATGTTTTAAGAAGCTTATAGAATAAAAGTCATTTTCAGATATTGAACGCATTTGAAATAAAAGGTGTTTTTTTAATTCTTTTTTGAAAAGAGCTTTGTTTTTGATGGATTTTATCTCATCTGGAAGTGAATTCCACTCCCTGATACTGTAAATCACTTTTTATTCGCGAGAACTTTATTTTCGCGTAATTACGCGAGACAGTGTGCTCGCGAAATTTTAATTCTCGCGTATAACATGTATAATAGTATTCCTTAAGAATATATATGGCAATAACCACAACTCGCGAACATTTTGTCTCGCTAATCAAGAGTCAATGACTATCTCGCGAAAATAAGGTGTCGCGAAAATTTAGTGATTTACAGTACCATTTTAAGAGAAAGTATACAACTCTGACTTAACAATTCTTGGGATAAAAAAGTTCAACTTGCTGGACCTAGTTGTTCTAGTAGAGTTTTAAATAAAATGCTCAGATAAATAATTTGGACATTTCTCATGAAAAATATTAAACACAGGATTAAGTCGGAGTTGAGAAACTCCAATACTAACATTCAAGAAGACTTTTTTTTTTCCAAATTTCTCTTCCTTTGATGGCTATTGAGTATAAACCTGATAACTTTGGTTTGAGCAACTTGTAGTCTATTTTTCATATTTTTTGTCAAACCTTCATAACCAACAAGAGCAAGCATAGTCGAAATGACACTGGATTTAAGCTGAACATAAACATTTTCTTGACAAAAAAGATAAACAATCTTTATATCTAAAAAGAAATTTCAGTCGCTGATTTGTCTTGCTGATAATATTTTCAACAATTTTTTTCACCAGAGAATACATTATTTAAAAATACAACCAAATATTTCAAACATGTTTTTGTTCAATTCTGACAATAACAAAATAATGAAAAAAAAATCAAGATTGAACTTATCAAGTTTTCTTCGAGTACTAAATGAAATGCTCTCCGTTTTACCCAAATGTAGAGATAACTTATTGTCAACTCACCAATCTTGACAGAGTTCTAACATACAAGAGAGTTTTTAGAAATAACATCTGGATCTTTGTGGAAAAAAAGTATAGCAGTATCATCAGCATATAAAAGTACTTTACATTCATGGTCTATACAAGACTGTAATTAGTCATTGACATAGACTAAAAATAAAAGAGGCCCAAGCAAACTTCCTTGAGGTACTCCGCATTTTACGTCAAATAATGTAGAATTTATATTATTAGCATTTACAAGTTGTTTCCTGTTGCACAAATATGATTTAAACCATTCGATTGATTGAATATCAATAGCAGTAGGATTCTCACACAAAATATCATGATTAACTGTGTCAAATGCTTTTTGAAACTCATTAGATAAGCTGTGAAGAATCCTATACTTTCACACTAAATGACAGCACTTCTGTCGTTTGAGTGCCATATTAAGATATTTCTATAAACTTTCATATACGTAGGAGAAAACTATAATCTCCTGCTACAAAATTAATTGCAAAATCTAAAGCACAATCTTGTAATTTTGTTAAGCTAGAAAATCCATCTCATTAGTTTAACACCATATGTTCTTTAAAATTTCAAATATAGTTCATCATCGAACAAACTTTCTTCACACCCCTTATAACACTGTATAATATATTAAGTATATATATCAAACGAATTCAAATACCCTGTGCATCAAATTTAAATACTGAGTAACTGAAGATGATTTTTTTTTAATTGCATGATAATTTAAGATGTGACCTAGCTGTTTTCATTTGATATGTTTGAAACATCGCATACACGTAACTAATTTTAATATATTTTACTCTCTATATTTTCACTTTAAACATATAAAAAGAAAGGAGATTTTCATGATTTTGACCATGGGTTGACAATACTGAATTGCAATTGCTTTATCATTTTTTTTGTACTTGATTCATTTCTCGTTTATTTTATTTTCTTTCGAGGGATCGCAGATTTCAGTTTGAAGTATGTCAACTCCTCACAAGAAAATAATTGGATTGTCTTCTCAGTACATATAACGTTACCGCAGGGTAAATAAAGGCTATTTAAACCTTTCATAATCTTGTCTTTTTCTCATGATTTTTGCAGAATCTTAAATTGCCATTTTGCAATTGTACATTTGACTGACTATTGAATGCATGTGATTGAGCATGTAACATCGGCTAAATTATTTTTTTTAAAAATTGAAGAAAAAACATTATCAATACAAATGACCCATGGGCCACCTTGCTCACATGAGCTAGGAAAAACAGGATATTAGAGCATTTTAAAGAAGAAATTGGGGGCACGGTATGTTTGAAACAAACGTCTAACTGTAACATCACCTCACGTTGCATGGATCCATATAGATATGTCTAATCAAGGTTTTCCTGTTCTTGATAAAAGATTTTTCCTATCTATTCCTGTATAAAACTTTGGTTGGCCATCGTGCCCATCTTACCCTTGGGGTCATAATTAAAAAACTTAAATCTACATTGAGAATTCTTCCATATAGATGACCAATCAAGTCTTTGCTGATCTTGAAAAGAAGATATTCAAAGATCATTCCAATATACAACGTTGCCTGGTCATTGTAGCTCCACCCTACCCCAAGGGTTATGATTTGGACAAATTTGAATCCACTTAAGTATAATTTTCACAATTTATTCCAGTTGTTTATAGAGATTTTAAAAATGCAATCGATTTTCCACTTATTTGTAATTATCTCCCTTTTGGAGGAGGGTGGCTCTGCATTTGAACAAAACTGTATATTTTGTAAAAGATTGAAATTGACCAAGCAGTTCTTGAGAAGTAAAAAATGTGACGTTTACAGACATTTTGTACGACAGTTGATCAGAAAAGCTCACTTGAGCTATCAGCTCAGGTGAGCTAAAAGAATACTGCACAAATATTATCATTATTACATGTATTATCAATGAAGTCTGTTGTATTCCTTGATGATTAAAGTTTTAGAAAATGTTGCCATTTTATTGTCTATTAGAACAACTTGTAGAATAATTTTCTTTACTAAAAATTTCTTTTTTAAAAGGTCGCCCGCGTGGTGCAGTGGTTAGAGCGTCTGCTCTAGAGTCGCGAAGTAAGGAGTCAATCCTTACGTCGCGGGTTCGAATTCCACTGCGGGACGTGGAGACCGTCCTTCGGATGAGGCCCCGTGTCGCAGTAGGTGCTGGCACAAAAAAGATCCCTCACTGCTCAAAGGCCCTGAGTGCCGAGCATAGGACAAAATTTGTAGCCCTCCTCCATTAAGTGAAAAATTCTCTCGAGGGACGTTAAACAACATACAATCAATCAATCAATCTTTTTTAAAAGTATGACATTTTGTTAAAAGAAATGAAAAGAAATTCAAGAATTTTACAGGTATATTTATGCATGATGTTCATACCTTCATGGTGTACATACATTGTAGATTTAGGTAAATACATTAGACACATCTGAAAAATACTCAATACAATCACGTAATGAGGGATTGACTCTTTGACCAAGTAACAATTTATACTTATTGAATGCATTATTTCAATCTCTAAAAAAATTTCAAAAATAGAAACTTGAGTTTATTGGCAGAGTTTTCAAAAACAGCATGAAATAAATAAAAATGATAATTCAGGCACAATTCAACATACAAAATGCTAAAAAGGATTTCAAGATATCTTTTCCCAAACTACGTCAATTAACAGATCTATGTATCAGAATAGAGCTATGGATTTTACAACATTAATGACCATAAAAGCTAAATGATGGACAGCCTATGCTGGAAGACAACCAATCGGAATTCTGAAATACTTGGAATGTATAGGGACAGCTCTGGAAAGATAAGGGGGGACAAATAGATATCAAATGTGTGTTACTCAATACTGTCTGCAACAAATTTGAGTACCATCTGAGAGTAGGGGAAGTCACTTGAAAACATCTTTAAGTTTAACAACTAATATTTTCATTTCCAGTAAATTTCCCCTATGAGTCTTCACAAAAAAAATGCAGTTCATTTTTTTCATGAACTACATTACGTATGTACTATGAATAAACATGAATATCTCCATTGTTACGTCACAATACCACTCTTGGCATTAAAAAATATTGTGCACACTGTTTTGCTTTAAAAATGACAGTTGAATGGCGTAAATTTATGGCAAGTCATCAGAAAAATAATGTAAATATAAGAAATGAATTTAATTTTTGAAGATTAATGAGGTATATGAACTACAACGCTTCACCCCGGCATATTTATCATGAAGAGCTAACCCGCTTCATGAAATATGCCGGCATGAAATGCCGTAGTTCATATCCTCATGAATCTTCAAAAACTAAATTCATTTCTTCATTATATTAAGCACCAGTTATACTTAAAACAGTTCCATTTGCAAACACTTACGACAACAATAAAACAATAACTCAGTAATGCATAGCATCTGATATCAAGACTTTTTTGCTCGCCGTTTTTCCATCACAGTGAGAGTCAGAAGTGCTTTTACAATTTCTTTTCTATCCTCCATCAGCAAGTAATTATAAGGTTTACTGTAGTAAAGAACAGGTCTTTCTTCTTCTTTTAATTTCAGTGAACCATGTGATCTTTGAAGTTTTTCCATTGTTTCATCTGTCACAGATAACCTTGTAAATGTAACCTTTAAAAAAAAAGAAGAAAATTTTAAAATAAATGAAAAGAAATATTTTCTTACTAATATAATTTGATCCTTGTTTAAGGTCTAGAATAAAAAAAAAGATCCACAGACCACATTGCTTACTGAAAATGCTAAAGTCATGTGGTCCAAGAGTTTTTCAGAGGATTTTTTTCAAGATTTTCTTTTGTGTATTCCTATGCAATTCGATGTAAAAATTTGTTCTCCTAGTATGGTCCTAACCTTTCCTTAGCACTCATGATTTAAACAGAAAGATATAAAAAGAGCAAAATTTCTTATACATGTAAGGCCTAAATTAAAAATTTGGTTGTTTGCAGTTGCCTACCCACTCACTCAAAATGCACCCAACCAAAACTTTTTTAAATCCCACTGTGGAACGTGAAGGCCGGTCCTTCACATGAGACCCTATAAATCGAGGTCCCATGTCGCAGTAGGTGCTGGCAAGAAAAAGATCCCTCACTGCTCAATGGCCCTGAGTGCCGAGTATAGGACAGAATTTGCAGCTCTCCACCAGCAAGTGGTGGCATCTCAATACGAGTGAAAAGTTCTCGAGAGGAACGTTTAACAATATACAATCAATCAAATCATTTAGCCATGTTGTAATATTTTTTTTTCAATTTTTCAGGTTATTAAAACTGTTCATTTTCTATTTTTGACTTTTATTTGTTTTATCAATCAGTGGTTTATAACAAGAGTGGAGCTCATTCATGATTTGAAGGCCTATGAAAAGCCCTAACAAAATCTAAAAAACCATTTTCTTCCAAAAAATAATAATGTCTACCTACCTCCCTACGCAGTCTAAAAGTTATAGGTAGACAATTGCAAACAAAGAATTTTTTCAACTTTGCCTAATTAGAGTGTACTTGACACTGGTACTGTAATGGTCATTGATCTCTATGGTGTAGGAAAAGCTTTTCCAAATTAATAGTCTTTGCCAAAAATGTCCTCATCATTTCATAAGTCATATTGAACAAGTTAAAAATCTTTTCTATAAATATAAAAATGACAGAATAGGGTATTCTCTTAATTTTTTTACAGTAAAACTTGTGTAATCAGTAATCTGGACCATTGGTTCCGAAGAAATCAACTTCATCATATTGGTAAGTAAAACTTCCTGTGAGCACTACACAATAAACAAAGGAATTTACAATGCTGATAGGGAACTCACTGTATTTACATATAATTCATTTGATTTATTACATCATAAAACAAAATGTAATAAATGGCTTTAAATTAATAAATTATTTTTAACAGTATGTTATCTTAATCATGTTAATTATATGTACTTGTAATCACACAATTTTGGTCAACATTCAAAAGAAGTTTTGGGCATACCATTGTTTTTTCCACGGTCATTCCTAATATTGCCCCTTTACATATTGATTTGTCCAGGTAGGTCAAAAGGTCACCGACATGTTGCGCAAGTAACCCATCAGGTAAATGGCAGCTCTGGGATCTTTGTGGAGAATCTTCTGTTCTTCTGAATTTCTGTGGTGATGGTCCTGTCTCTTCATCTGTGAAAGGGCATTCCTTTTTCACCTAAAATGAAAATGTAAATGAATTGTTTTCATTATATTTATATAGTAACATATTCTCACTATAACTCTTTATAGAAAGCAGTCTACAATTAAAATATTAGCCCACCTGAAAAATACTGACCATCTACCAGGTACATTTTTCTGCTATTGACGGGCTACACGTAGGAATAATGCATGAAGAATTTTCCCCCTTTTCTGCTATATTCATTTTATTGAAAGATTTATAAAAAGTGACTACACCAAAAAATGTGACATCACAATAGGCTCATCATTTATGTCAAAAACACAACTGGTAAAAAAATGAAGAGATTTGCAGATATCTTAGGGGCTGATATTGAACCCGGGTTCAATATATCGCGGTATCAAAATATTATGCTACACCGGTACTACCTAAAAACAGTAGCAATGGAAAATACTTCTGGAAATTTTGAACTCAATAGACCAATTAATGCAATTGGATGATCAGTACCTGAAAAATGTGTTAGAGCAGCCCATCATGAACACTAAACCCTGTCCTCAAAACTTTTTAAATGCATATAATTGCAATGCAAGTAAACCTATTGTAACATTTTTTTTCATCTTGTTCTGCCATTCTTCTTCACAATAAAAAAAAAACTTAATTCTGTACTAAATTTCATATATATGTAATAACCAAACACTATATTGGCTGTGTTTTCATGCAACATTGATTATGTAAGCCTCCTCCTGATGAAAATAATGCCCTCTGCTCCACATCGGGCAATATTTAGTCCATAATAATCATGATAGTAAATGTTGCCCTCAACCCCATTCCATATTTGTATATTATTACACTTTCATGTTAAATACTAAAATCTGATTGGTTTAGATGCAGTTAACAATCTGTTCTATTACCCTCAGCCTTAGCAACACACATTATAACGGGTAACACAACGGTAATGCCACATGCATGGAAATTATGCGCGTATGGTTCACCGTAGAATTCTCAAAACGTCAGTTGCGCGTTTGAAAGAACCAGAATAAACTTGACCTCAATAAAAACTTGCATCCGATGTAGCTTACTGGAAAACAACAAAGGACAGACGAAACATGCTTGCGAGTGCAGAAATAACAAAACTTTAGATGATAAAGGACTCTTAGACATTGTTAGAGTATCAAATAAACTATAAAGAGGTCAGTAAATCTTTTTCGAAGTAGCGAGGAGTTTGAAAGCTTTCTAAAGGTGAACAAAAATGTGATCAACGATTTGTATTGCGGACAAAGTAAAAAATGAAGAAGACATTCAGTATAATAAAACTAGAGGTACTGTGAGCAATGAGCTCACTAAATGATACCCCCCGCCTCCCATAATGTCAATGTGTTGAGCACTACATGTATATATTGTTTTACGGTAATGTGTATAGAGGAATAACTCGTCCTATCAAATGTTATCCAGAAGCTTCTATTATGTGATGTCATAGGTAAACAAAACATGGCAATGTCCATGTTTTGCTCTGGGAAACCTAAAATATGTGTCGAATAAAAAAGTAAAATAGGAGGTGCACAATGGCAATATGTAATAAAGATTCTGTGAAAGTTTCATTAAATTTCACTCAGTAGTATAAGAGGAGTTGCGGATAAGAGAAAAAGCGTAACAGACGGACGGACGGAAGGACGTACAGATGAACGGAAATCCTGATCACTATATACCCTCCCGCTTTTCAAGCGGGGGGTATAATAAATGGTGCCTGTTTTAGAGGGTAACAGTGGAAATTGACACCCCTTGGTTGACAATGGTTTTCATTGGGGTGTCAATTTCCACTGTTACCCTCCAAAACAGGCACCATTTATATAATATATTACTACTGTATATATTTTTTCCTTATCAATTAAGTTAACTGCTTAGTACCTTATTTTCATTCTAATATCATTTCTTCATTGGAAAAAAATTCTGGCAGTATTCTTGATTAAGCCAACAATGGATTAATGCACCAAGGGGCACAAAAACATTACATTTCATGCAGCAAAATTTAGGGTTACCTCACAAATTGCCAAAGTGTATTTCTTCACATCTCTAGGACTAAAGCACACAATATCTGCCTTTGCTGAAACTTTTCTACCAGAAATATCTGTTGATTCTGCATCTATTACAGGATGTGCCCTAAAAAGGTAGAGGTGAGGCATGTAAGAACTCATTCATGTAGTTTACCATGTTATCATGTTTTTAATTAAATAAAGTGAAAATAAATTTGATTTAAAAGTATCTGATTGGCAAAAGTGGCTATCTTATTGTAATGTTATGAGTCCATATCTTAAATTGTTTTAAACATTCCAATTTTTGTAATCTCAACTTAAGTGATCTAAAAGCCTTTGACTTTGTCCCAGATGTGATACAACTGGATGGCTAGGCAGACAGAGAAGGTTTTTTTTTTTATATACCCCCCCTCACCCCCGAAAAAATAACAAGTAGATAGAGACAATAACTACAGTTTTCAATGACTTAGCTTTTGAACATGTTACACTATACATGTTATACTTTAATATTCTTAAATATATAGCCTCATACAGACAGAATTAGGGTAATATGAGCCAACTGAAACACAAATTCAAAATTAACTAGAGGTACTGTGAGCAATGAGCTCACTAAATGATACCCCCCACCTCCCATAATGTCCATGTGTTGCTATATTATATTGTTTTATGGTAATGTGTAAAGAGGAATACCAGGTAACTCGTCCAATGAAATGTTATCCAGAAGCTTCTATTATGTGACGTCATAGGTAAACAAAAAATGGCAATGTTTTGCTCTGGGAAACCTAAAATACGTGTCGAATAAAAAAGTAAAATAGGAGGTGCACAATGGCAATATGTAATAAAGATTCTGTGAAAGTTTCATTAAATTTCACTGAGTGGTATAAGAGGAGTTGCGGATAAGAGAAAAAGCGTAACAGACGGACGGACGGAAATCCCGATCACTATATACCCTCCCGCTTTTCAAGCGGGGGGTATAAAAATTATACATAGAGACAGCCAACAATCTGAAATATGTTAACCTGACAGATATAAACATGACATACAATAATACTAGTCTCATAACATAAAGCAAAATATTTTGAAAAATTATGAGTAATTTTGTTAACACTTACATGACGTCAATTCCAAACATCTGAAGAAATTGCTCAAATAGGCACCGATACTTTTCCTCAGATATAATAGGCTGTTTTTCTTTCAGAATATACCAAAGGCTTACTCCAAATTTCTTCATAAATGTTGAGTACTTTGATCTTGAAATAAACAAAGAATACTTTGTCAGACAAAATGTGAACATACAGTACAGGTACATCAAATACAACAGACATGTACTATAATAATCAGTCAGGGGTGAGACTGAAATCAGTCATTTATAAAATAATGATTACAAGTCATAAATTTGGTTTTTGTACTGACTAAAATTCATTTTTAGAATAACTAAAGAGAATCATTTATAACAATTTGGAGTTTACTTTAGAGTAATGGTTTTAATTACATATCATATGACTGTACTTCATCTCCGCTTGAAAAGCGGGAGGGTATATAGTAATCGTTAATTCCGTCCGTCCGTCCGTCTGTTATGCTTTAGGGTACCTATCTCTTATCCGCAACTCCTCTTATACCACTGAGTGAAATTTAATGAAACTTTCACAGAATCTTTATTACATATTGCCATTGTGCACCTCCTATTTTACTTTTTGATCTGACACATATTTTGGGTTTCCCGGCCATGGCAAATCATGGACTTTGTCATTAGTTATAACCATATGGGAAGCGGGGGGTATCATTTAGTGAGCTCATTGCTCACAGTACCTCTAGTTTAATTTTGTATCAGATCAATTTTTTATTTGTTTGATTTAGGAATGCTGCAAATGTTTGGTGCTGAGGACCATTCTTCAGCATTAAAGGAATCTTTTTCTTTGGGGCTAGGTGATCATGGTCATAATTAGTTTTTTGTACATTGATAGGTATCACTTTATTTGAGCCACAAAAATGATTGTGTGTGTTAAACTGGTAATAAATTTCCTTTTTGCATTGAACATGTTGAATCAAACACATATTTTTTTTTTCATAAACAAGAAGAACTTAATATATTCAAAGTAGTTGTGTATACAATTATTTTGATCATGTGGTATTTTTTAATTATCATTATTATACCCCCCACTTGAAAAGCGGGAGGGTATTTAGTAATCGTTAATTCTGTCCGTCCGTCCGTCCGTCTGTTACGCTTTGGGGTACCCATCTCTTATCCGCAACTCCTCTCATACCACTGAATGAAATTTGATGCAACTTTCACAGAATCTTTATTACATATTGCCATTGTGCACCTCCTATTTTACATTTTGATCAGACACATTTTTGGGTTTCACTGCCACAGGAAAACATGGACTTTTTAACCAGTTATAACCATATGGGAGGCGGGGGGTATCATTTAGTGAGCTCATCGCTCACAGTACCTCTAGTTTTATTTAATATCTATATTTATCATTCTTATTTTAATATATTAAACCCAGCAAGTTAAACATGTTAAATAAACAAAGAAATTTAACATTTACAGAAGTTAGATTTTTTTTTTGCAATATTTCGATATTAATTTCTTCAGATGTACATGATGTATCGATATGTATCATCCTCACATAGAATTAATATTATCAATATCTTACTCTATCATCCCAAACTTATTTTTCAAGTCAACTGTGACATGGGACCTACATCAGTACATGTAAGTTTACACAGTCTAATTAGGAGTACACACTTCTCTACGTCCCACGATTGATTCAAACCTGCAACGTAAGAACTTAAGAAGCTGCTCCTTATGCTACATGTCTCTCAAGCAGATGCTCTAACCACTAATCTATGCTAAATTTGACTATCATCATTCATTTTATAGCCTCACCCCTGACTGATTTATAGATTCTGTCCAGTTATTATCTTATAGAAAAAGAATCAGATAAGAAGTCACCAGTATTTGACCACTGACTATTTATTCAAGCACCTGTATTATCATGCATACTTGGTAATATACAGGCATGAGGAATCCCTTATTTGTAATACTTACATGTCTATTTCTTTGAATCTATTGCTGTACCGCAGCTTTTCCTCTACTGGCCTCGAGAAATTGAGACCTTTAAAATTGATTTCAAGCAGTTTCTCATGATTTAGATTATTAAGATGACCCAAGATATCTGTTAGCTCCTCAAGGTTTTGTATTTCATCACGCATGAGGTTATATGCCACAGCGGACATGTGCTCCATGATAATGTCAGTTGGCGATTTACGTTCAAAACGTATTCCAAGTTTTTCTATTAAACTTCTTCTCCATTCACAAGTGCTTGATGGCACGTCATTTTCAGTCGAACTTGGTGAGCTGCAACTTGGCGAAAGAGTTTCTGAGGATGATCTTGAAGATTGTCTTGTAATGTTACTTCTGCTTGCTTGACAATAAACATTTGCCTGTGAGCTTTCAGAAAATTCCGCCATTTTCCACAAAAAAGTAAACAGAGAATTTGCGCATGCGCATACGAAGCTCGCTTCACACTGGCTACCTTTTCGAACTCGGTCTTTTTGTCCCCCTTATGAATCTTACAAACCATTCGATAAAATTGGAACATACCTCATTACATAAAATGTTTAACACTTGATATGATATGAGCGTATTTTTTTTTTTTACATAATCAACAACTCAATTAAACCAGAATTCTCTTAATACATGTACTGCACAATGTCTGCTTAGTATAAGTCTCTGTTATAATATACTGTTATATATACATGCGTATAAATTCATATTTTTGATAGATCTTCTTAGATGTACTTATGATTTAGGTATTGTTTAAATATTATAATTGATGTACTGGGAATTTGTAATTGAAAATTAATTGTTTTATTTGATCTTCAGAAAGAGCACTGCTGCACGTGTTTGTAATTTCTCAAACTTGACATCTCTCTCTCCATCCCACGGTATCGATGCTATTAGCTCATAATTGTTATCAGGTTTATGGTCAGATCTTAGACTGGTGTTTCTTTGAATTTGTTATGCTTACTCAAATTGTTTCCTGTGTTATAGATAAATGTCATTGAGCTTTCCCCAAACTTTTCTACTGTCTTTTAACTTGTTTCATTGCTTCATTTATGAAATGTGGGAGGAGTTGTCAAAGATGAGACGTACCTGAGTTTATTTGTAATTCACTCTCACTTTAGGAATTTTTGTGTAAAAATGTGAAATTTGATTTTGTACTTTTGGACTTGAATAAATTCTAAACTTTAACCAGGAATTATCATTTCAAAACAATATAATTATTACATGATGGAGCTATATATCCACATGTTTCAGCTGTCTACATGGGTGTCGTTGAGGGGGCTAATCAAAAGGGGGCTACACCAAGGAAAAAGGTAAATTCCAATTTTCTATGCCTATATAAGGTCTATTTTAGCAAAAAAAAGTGGGGGGGGGGGGGGGGCTAAGCAGGGGGGGAGGTAGGGTTCCCACGGCTATGTTCTATTTTAATAGACGGAAAATTGACTGAGCAAAGCTACTGTATAGGTTATACACCTAAATTCAATATTTAGGGGCAAATATGAGCAAAGTAAAACATATATGTGGCACAGAATATTTTATTGAAGAAAGATGATGGAATTCAAAAGATTACACAGATATTCAGATTTAAGAAATTTCTGGCTCTAAATGGTGTATTTTCCAGCATTAATTTTGCCATTTATTATCAGTAGCTTTATTCTTTACAGAACGGTCATCACAATTTTATTATAATTTTGAAAAAAAAATAATGTTTTTATTAATCCAATTAACTTTTGCATAAGACTTAAGAATTTTCTTTCAAATATAGTTTTGAATCAAATATTTTTAGGAATGCATATAAATAAAAGCATTTGAATTTAGCTCTAACTTCCAAGATAGGATTACAACTGATTTTATCCCAGAATCAAGCACCTTTTTGTGTAAGCAATAAATGTACAACTTTTTTTTAATGGATGGCACTGCATGTACATAGTCTGTTAAAATATTTTTTGGAGATTCACAGTTCTGCAGACAGAGTATACTGCATTTGATTTAGAATATATAACACATGTAACACACAATTACTTTACATACTGAAGAATTAATAAAGTACATAAAAGTTCGCTCGTAGTTTGGAAATCATTGAAAAGGTGTTATTTTTGTTTATGAGTTAGTTGGGGTGGGTGGGGGGGTATTGTCCATGTGGTTAAATTTAATAATATAATAAAATAAAATAAATACAAAACATGGCATTTCTGAAAAAATGTATATTCTTCCTTTGACAGGACTCTATAATTGCCATAAAGGAGGGGAAGAAAATCAAGAAAAACATGCTGCAGATCAAGTCCCCTCGACTGCGTGAGAGACAAGAGGAGTTATATAGTAAGGCCAACAACTACGATGGCCGATAACAGCCGTCACTTCACAACTTAATTTACTGTCTTCTGTACATGTAAAATTTGACAGGTTAGCACAGACACAATACACAAAAACCTTTGGTGGTAAATGTACATGTACAAATTGACAAATTCTCCAAGTACATAATGCACAGAAACTTCTGTTGCTTTTCGTCCATAGAAATTGTCAAATTGACAAAAATGACAGTTTCTTACAAAAGGCCTCTGATTGAAATATTTATGTTGATTTTGAACCTTAATAATATAAAAAAGAAAATATGACGCATTGACGGATGTGTCGGACGACAGGTGAACAGAAAAAAACAGGCCCAAAGGAAGCGATTTCATGCAGTTAAAGGTTGGAGGGCACAGCCTACATTTTTGGTGGGGGCACTATCAACCACCAAAAATGCCCGGACAAGCAAACAAAAAAGAGGTCATCAAACATTTTTATTGAGGGGGCAGAAGCATATAGTACCTACATGTATATAGTAGCTATAGTTTCTAAAATATTTTATATATTGGCAAAATTATTCGGTAAGTACACCTCCGTCGCCCCACCCCTCGGTGGCCACGAAAATGCACTAGAATTTCAGCTTATAAAATGAGTTCGTGCTCCTTTTTGTACCCTCAGTTCTTCTAAAAGAATTACAGTTAGTGTTGGACATTTAAAATCTACCTGTACCTTAATTATCTTTGACCTTTGAAGCTCATATATAAAAAATGTCATGTATGTAAGCAACGTTTTATTTGTAGCTCTCATACAGTTGATTGTTGCTCACTTTCTACATCTTGTATAGAATATGTTTGCGTGTAACCTTTTTCTAAGTATTCTATACATAATTAAAGATAACTTTTATTTTCTTTTATGTATGGATGCATTATGTACTGAAGTCCAAAATCTCCATAAATATGTCAAGTAGAGGGTCTTTTGTTAGAAACTGTCATTTTTTTCAATTTGACAATTTCTATTGACGAAAAGCAACAAAAGTTTCTGTGCATTATGTACTTGGAGAATATGTCAATTCGTACATGTACACGAACCACCGAAGGTATTTGTGTATTCTGTCTGTGCTAAATTGTCAAATTTTACATGTACAGAAGACAGTAAATTAAGTTGTGAAGTGGCGGCTGTTATCGGCCATCGTAAACAACAGACTTAAGAAGCTTGCACGCCATGATGAAAGAGAAGGCATCCATGCCAAGAAATCTCGTCCGGTTTACGCACTGCTCAATTCCGCTTTTGGATTGTATTAGATCTTTCTTTGATGTTGCGATTTTGCCCTGAGGACCTTCCCTGGCCAGACCTGTATAAAATGAAACAGAGACAGACACAATCCAGCTCTTGTCTTTATTTAAAGAAACAATCCGTTTATTTTATAATTACAATAAATAATTTTACACACAATACTAAACATTATAATAAATATTACTGTGTTACAATATAAACAATCTAAACCTGAAAATAAAATAAACCATCTGAAAACTTAATAATTTACAAAATCGCGCAAGTCTACCAAATAATCTTACCTGTATAAAATGAAACAGAGACAGACACAATCCAGCTCTTGTCTGGCGTATGTCCGTCGTCCGCTCATTTTATACCTTAGCTCTTACTCCGTTTTTCATCTCCATATTCGGATCGCCTTCAAATTTTCCAATAATTACTTTAATTTCAAATTTGAATTTTTAACTATCCTTACTGTATCCTTCAACACTCTTAGTTTACTAATGCGTTTTAAAAATTACTTCCTGTCTTTTGCAAAATCTGTTAATTTCACTTGATGTATCTAATTTATTCGTATAACTGACCCCTGGTCACTCAAATGTCATTGGACGCTCCTTTCTCCTAACCAAATACATCTTCTGATAAACAAGAAAAACTGCATTCCAATGATTCATTTCTTGGAACCGGCCAGGTTAAAGTTCAACTCTTATTTGTTTACCTATTTAACTGCTTCTATATGATCGCGCCCACGTGTGCTATCTCCGCCAAGTTAATTACGCTGAGCTGACCAGTACAAATTCATCCCATATGTTTTCTTCTTATTTTTAGTGCAATTTTTGTTATGATAAAATGTATATTCTTCCTTTGACAGGACTCTATAATTGCCATAAATGAGGGGAAGAAAATCAAGAAAAACATGCTGCAGATCAAGTCCCCACGACTGCGTGAGAGACAGGAGGAGTTATATAGTAAGGCCAACAACAGACTTAAGAAGCTTGCACGCCATGATGAAAGAGAAGGCATCCATACCAAGAAATCTCGTCCGGTTTACGCACTGATGAAGTCAATAAAAGTGTAATTGATGCAAATCACCCATATTCCCCAAACGCTAGCAAAACAATTTACGGCAGCAGATTTTGATTTTAGGGGGGGGGGGATCATAGGTTTTCAGCTTTCTTTGTTAAAGAAAAATAAACTTGATATATGCCACCTTTTATTTCTATCAGTGATATTTTTACATTAAAATAAAAAAAATATTAACATAGCCAATCAGGTTGCGTCACACCGGTAATTGTTTTTATAAAATTACATATAGAATAAAAAGTCGTAAAAAAAACTTGTATTTTTAGGGTATTTGTACTACTTTCTGGGGTAGAAGTTTATTTTTTCTTTAACTAAGAAAGCTTAAAACCTAGGATCCACCCCCAGAAGTCTGCTGCCGTAAATTGTCTTGCTGGCGTTTTGGGAATATGGGTGATTTGCATCAATTACACTTTTATTGACTCCATCGCTGTCGAAATCGGACGAGATTTCTTGGTATGTTTACTATAATTAATAATTTTTAACTTTCTTTTTCTTTAAATTACTTTTTTTTTTACAGTATTTGAAAAATATGCCCCCCCCCCCCAAAAAAAAAAGAAGAAGAAGGAGTGCAAAGGCTTCTAAATAATTAGTTTTGTACCTATGTTTGAAATCCAGTAAAACTTAAGATCCCTCCCTCAAAACTGCAGACATTATAATCGTCTCGCCAACATCTCTCGGGGGAGTTTCACAGATTAACGTTAATTCGGCTTTTAATGAGTTCGCTCTCCGGACAGGCTGCTAAGGTTTTCTTGGCATGGACCAACTTGCAGCTGAGGCAGAGGAAGTAGCAGTACGGAGAAAGCAAGGAAGAGTATATTATAAGATCACAAAACGAGTGTATGGTAAAATTTAGAGGAAACGCAAGAGGGCATATCAAGGCTTATCATAGAAAAAGAACAAGAACAGAGATGGGATGAACTCTTCCATGAAATACCAAAAGTCATAAAACAGTTGTCGTACAAGAAGCCACAGAGGATCTGAACATCGACTTTGACCCACCAACTAAGGAGGAGATAATGGATGCATTCAATGCCCTTGAGAATGGGAAGTCACCAGGGCGTGACAATTTTGATGCAGAGATATTCGGAGAAAATCCTGGAAAGCAGCCACCATCCTCCAAGCACTGTTCAACGTTGTGTTGGTTGGAGGGAAATTATCTTTTGACTGGTGTAAAGGGGTGATTGTCACGATCCCAAAGAAATTTAAAGAGCCCTGAGCGACTGTAGCATTGGAGTTGAATCACTCTATTGAATGTGCCAAGTAAGATCCTGGTCAAGATAATCATCAAAAGAAAGTCAGACACTGTTAACGTACGCTGTATTTAGGAAAGAGCAAGCAGGAGTTATAAAACATCGAGGATGTACTGACCAGATATTTGCACTCCTCAACATCATAGAGCAGTGCACAGAGTGGCAGAGAAAACTGTATAAAAACTTCGTGGACTATGAAACACCATTTGACAGCATACGCCGAGATAACCTTTGGAGCATCTTATGTCATTATGGTATTCCATCCAAAATGGTCAACCTGATCAAGCTAGAACTTTAATTTATATATAAGAAGTTCAAATGCTAAGTACATGAAGTAGGACACAATATTACCTTCTTCGATCACAGGCACCTGAATTACTTATTTTTCTTTAAAAAAAAAAATACACACATACCTATTATTAGGTATGTGTGTATTTTTTTTTTTATTAAAAGAAAAATAAGTAACGTCAGGTGCCTGTGTCTTCGATGTAAAAACTGCAGTCAGACAAGGGTGCGTAAAGTCTGCAGTATTCTTCGATTTTTTAACTCGGTAATAGATTGGGTCATGCCGAAGTCAACAGAAAACTCTACAAGTGGGATCCACCGCAGGGGCCTGTTAACATTGGAGGATCTGAACTTTGCGGATGACACCTAGCGCTGATGTCTCACACACACCAGCATATCCGAGAGAAGATCAACAGGCTGCAAACCTACGGAAAACAGGTGGGGCTATGGGGATTTGCCTGCTTCTGTAAGGGTCAATGGTAAAGAACTACGCCAGACGAATAACTTTATTTACCTGGGTAGCATCATTAAACCAGTGAGTGACATGAGGGAGGACATCCACGGCAGACTGGGCAAGGCCAGGAGAGTATTTAAAGAAATGAATAACATCTGGAGATCTGCATAGTACAACATCAGCATTAAAGCTGAAGCTTTACTAGATCTGTGTTCTATAAACTCTTCTTTATGGATCGGAATGTTGGTGAATAACACAGAGACAGATCTTAGCAAATTATGATCCTTCTATACCACCTGTCTCAGCCGAATACCCAGGATTTTCTGGCCAGAAAGGATTACAAATGAAGATCCGCTGAGCAGATGCAAACAAGAGGACATGGGTACTATCATTATCAAACGCCAATGGAGATGGATTGGACATATTCTCCGAAAAATCTCTCAGTCAACAAAAATAACAGCACTGCGACACCAGAGGGCAAAAAAGGTAGAGAGTAAGGAATAGAACATCGTGGCGAAGGACAGTTGAAAACGAAATGAAAGCAATGCACCAGACCTGGGGATCATTGACGCTGCTGGCCCAGGGTAGACAAGAGTGCATGGTGGAAGTTTATTAATTGTTGCCCTACACACCAAAGGATGTAATTAAAGGACGACGATTATGACAAACTGGAGAAAAAAAAAATGTGTTTTAACGCCTTTCCAAAATGTGTAATAATAACGCGTAAATGGCGTAATAACAAGAAAAGGTGTCTTTCCCTTTCCAAGATGTGTCATTATATAAATGGTGCCCATTTTGGAGGGTAACATTTGAAATTGACACCCCAAGGAAAACCTTTGGTTTTCCGAGGGGTGTCAATTTCAAATGTTACCATCCAAACCAGGCACCAATTATTTTATTATACTGAATGTCTTATTTATATAGGACGTCAGCAAAAAAAAAAAAAAAAAAAAAAAGCTCGTCTTTACGTTCATATGTAGAAAGCTTTCACACTCACCGGTTCACTAATATCCTCATTGTTTGTTTGATATTCGAATTAGAGTCATTTATCATTTAAAGTTTCGTTATTTCTGGCTCGCAAGCATGTTTCCTACACTCGCAAGCATGTATCGTCTGTCGTTTGTTGTTTTCAAGTAAGCTATATCGGACGCAAGCTTTTATTGACGTCAAGTAAATTCCGGTTCTTTCAAACGCGCAACTGACGTTTTGAGAATTCTACGGTGAACCGTACGCGCATAATTTCCACGCATGTGGCATTACCGTTGTGTTACCCGTTGTCACGTGTGTTGCTAAGGCTCAGGGTAATCGAACGGATTGTTAACTGCTTCTAAACCAATCAGATTTGAGTATTTAACATGAAAGTATAATAGTACGAATTTTCAAAAGGCATTATTACGCCTTGTGTAAAAGAATTAAAAATACTATATTCCACTGTTTATTTTGTGATGTTATTAAAGCCAAAGAAATGACAGTTCAGGCTCTCAGGAAAGCAAATTAATGGAAAATTTAAACATTATAAAAAAAATTAAAACACACTGTAAAACTAGTTTCCTTTTATATAATTATTTTATTGAACTCAAAGAAATATACATATTTTATTAAGAATATACAATATGCTCTACGGAAATGAGTTAAGGCTGGGTATTGAGGGTTTCTTTATATACAAGTATATACAGTTCTAAATTTTCCAATTCAGAAAACATTAAGAGATATTATTCAATATTATTAAACAGTTTAGTTTAAACTAACAAATAAGCCACAGTTTATGTGAAAATATCCCATCAAATAGAAGAATTGTAAATGGTGATGTTTGTAAGAGAAATAGAGAGAGATATTGTTGTAGCTGTTTAAAGACCATTTCGACCTGAAATGGTAGAAATTTCAGAGCGTTCAGCATGTACAGGACGGTACTTTCTTTGGTTTGCTTTAAGATAAATATAAAGTCTAAACAAAATGATGTGTAGAATCAATCCTACAGCAGTTAAGACAATACTTGGATAAAAGTACCAAACAGTTTTGTTTTCCGTACGGATACACCAAGTTATGACAATTGCTATATTTACTATGTAGTAAAAAATGTAAAAGAAAACAGTATATTTTGTTTGCTTATTTTTCTTAACATTTTCATACAACTTGTATTTGCAAAAGAAGAAAGTATTTGCAAAACTTCCAAGAAGTAAAAGTATTATTTCACGCCCACGTTCAAATTTGTCTGTAACTCTGTTTTTACGTCCAACAACAAAACCTATTGTAAGCATAATAAGAAAATGACAAACAAAGAAATAAACAGAATCTAACTTAAATTCCGAAACGAGCAACGCTAAAAGTATAACCCTTGGTCCAATTTCTGCAATGCGTGATAGAAAAGACACAACTTTTGTTGGTAAAGTTAGGTCACCAGTATCTCCTTTCTCGACGTTATGTTTAAAGTTGTACATTGATTTTGCAAGTCCAAGAGCTGATCCAGCCAGTGCTACATATCGGATGTATTCTACAAAGAAACAATTTCATAACACATTTATGCAAAAATTGAAGAAAACAAATATCGATCAATCTCATAAATGTCGTAAATAAAACAATCATAACATGGACAAAAACACCGACCCCCGGAAATCACCCCTTCTTAGGTCTTTACACACGTTCAGAACCCAATGATTAGATGAGGTAGAAGAAGTTCTAGTATAGAAAGGCAATTACTAAACAAATCCTGTGATTAAATTTGTAAAAGTGACTTAATTAACACTGCAACTTTAAATTATTAAAACGTTTACATTTTTAACATATCAATGTCATAAATTTTTAATTAGCTTACTAATGCTTGTTTCTTCATCTTCTGTACTACCTATGTTGATATGAATCTGAACAATAATTTGTGGCGCAGATTCAAAGGTTGTTTCAATCAAACCCAGTAAAGATGCCAATCTAACCAGTTTCTCCGCCCTTTCGTCTTTTGCACCCATAGCTAAAACTGATATCAACCTATTAAAAAAAGTAAAATAAATATCATGTTTATTTATAGGGATAATCAGGCCAGTAACCAATATCATTGTTTAACAAATACCAATTGCATTATCTTGGATAAATTTATGTGAGATGAATCGATCTAAATTTAAGGAATAGCTTACACAAGTAGTTGAATTAGCGGTGAAAAGAAGAAACACAAGAGGAAAATCATCGTGTTGACGTAGTATTTATTTTCCCTCATGACCATTATCACCGTTACTACATTTGCTAAAACTGGAAGTCCCGTGAATATCAAGGATAGAATAAAATTCTCAGTGCTGCTCTCACGCCAGTAAATGTATGTCATATTGATGTCACTTGCAAGATCGATTAGAAAAAGTACGATTGTCATCAATGTCCAAAAAATATGCCTCAAACTGTCTGTCAATTTTTTAGCATACCGGACTCTTCCCTTGACTTTTTGTGACCAATAAATGTACGCTATGATACAGGATATTATAGTTAAGGCCACAACGGATGAGGAAGTTATTATCAGGTCATCAGTTATAAACTGGCTTATTAAAGAATCTGAAAAGAAAAAGAAGATGTGCTTGTGAAACAATATATCAAATTTTATTTACGTGACTTGTTTCTTTGTATAGTTTATTTTTACTTCTATTTTAGATTATTTAAATTTGTTTGTTTACTGTACTGTAGTTACTTTTAAGAATTGCTATGTCTTTCTCTGTTACAACAAACAGATTTTAATTAAATATGCTTTTACGTCTGCACGTGAGATTGAAAAAAGACACCTAATCTGTGCATTAAAGCATATGAAAACAGATAGCCAATGTCTGATTTAAAATTTTTAAAAATACAATCAATACTAGCCAAACTTTGTATAGCTACAAGTACAGTACATGTGTAACAGCTTTTTAAAAAGCTTGCCTGACTAAATCAATCAATTTATCTGCATGAAATGTGAAAAATCTTTTGAGCAATACTTTTGTTGTTTTAAAACATATCAATCCTTTATTTTGATAACCTTGTGTAATTAAAATCTTGATTTTATTTAACTTGTAGAAGAATCATCTGCATACTAAGGAGTTGTTATTCCGTAGGGGGGATTCAACTAGAGTTATCTGCTCATGGATCTAAATTGATTTCGAACTTCATTGTAAACTTATTATAAAATCTGTCATCAAATCATGCATTCGCGAAAAGAAGAAAACACTTGCTGTGGCCTTCAACTCAATATCTAGATATATCGACGACGTACTGTCCATTAACAATGGAAATTTCCATTCTTACATCGATACGATATATGTTGGTGAGCTTGAGATAAAAGATACCACAGAGTTGACACATCTGTTATATGTTTAAATATTTTACTTGAAAAACAAGGACGTAAATAGTAATCTAACAACCAAGCTATATGATAAACGTGATGACTTTTTATCGTTAAATTCCCTTACGTATGCGCTAATATACCTTCATCACCTGCCTACGGAGTATATATATCTCAGTTGATTCGATATGCAAGAGCATGCTCTACGTTTAATTGACCAATTTCTACAACGAGGAAAATTATTGACAAGCAAGTTAATTAGACAAGAATACCAGTAGTCTTGTTTAAAGTCATCATTTCGAAAGTTCTATGGTCAATACAATCACCTTGTCAGCAAATACAATTTATCGTTGAGTCAATGCCGACTGACGTTTTTCATACTGATTGTTAGTCCATTATAATTTATACACTGAATTGAGGACGGATTTTCCTGTTATTTCCCGATCATGACAAGGAGCACACGGCGGGTGTGACCTGTCGGCAGGGGAAGCTAACTCCCACCTCTGATGTTTTGGAGGTCTGTGTTTGCTCTTTTCCTATTTTGTATTGTTTTATGGACTTTGATATTGAATACTATTCGCTATCTCCACATCCTTCTTCTTCTTGTAAACATTTTAAAAGATCGACATAATTAAATACGCATTTTGTTGTAGTTAATTTTCTCCATTGAAGTGAACAGAATAAATGTGTGTCTGTTCATTATTTTTTTTCTTAAAAGGGGGAGGAGGTAGGGACACAATCATGCCTAGTATATTATTAAAAATTAGAAAAAATCATTATACCCCCCGCTTGTAAAGCAGGAGGGTATATTAATCGTTATGTCCGTCCGTCCGTCTGTAACGTTTGGGGTACCCATCTCTTATCCGCAACTCCTCTCATACCACTAAATGAAATTTGATGAAACTTTCCCAGAATTTTTATTACATATTGTCATTGTGCACCTTTTGTTTTACTTTTTGATCTGACACATATTTTGGGTTTCCCACTACAAAACATGGACACTCCCATTATATTCATATAGGAGGCGGGGGGTATCATTTAGTGAGCTCATTGCTCATAGTACTTTTAGTTTCTTTAGTGTTGCATGTCTATATACTGATGTATACGATATGTTGTTTTAAAGAATGGTATAAAACTTGTAGATAGAATTTCTGAAGCATTAGACAGTTGTTAAGAATGAATGGAACGGGCAAAGCCCAATATGCTAAAATTATCCCATGTTTCCCACTATTATTGATGTCCCTGGCATACTCTCCTAACTAGACAATGATTCCTTATATTTCCCTTTCATTGTGAAATAAAATTGTAGATTTAGACTTTAAAAATGTAGATTAATAGATTTAAATAACAAGAGGACTTCCATGCCAATTTCAATAGTCCTCGCCCACTGAAGTCAAACACAAAGGCAGCCGCACGAGATTTACATGCATATTTGGCCTCCTTAGCTTCAGACACAGAGACAGATGCGCACGAGATTTGCATGCGTATAAGGCCTCCTTAGCTCCTGACCTATCGACCTGCCTAATTTACATTCCGACAGAATTATCAAGAAATAAACCTCCCCTAACTTTCAAAGAGTTATCACAGAGAACAAAATTAGAAATGGAAATATAGGAAAATAATATTTACTCTTACACTGTGTATCTATCCTATTCTAGATCTCAATAGAAAACATACCGAAGCGTTGTTTTTTAAATCAAAATATCAAATTCTTTTCTGTGTTCGTAAAATAATACGCATCCATCAACAATCGTTATCTTTCCATAATTGCCCTTGAACATATTTTTTGTGAAACAAAATATTAATTATCTGTTGTAAATAATTCTGCATCTAAAAATTTCTGTGATATTAAATAACTTATACGTTAAGAGATTATTCATTACTGCAACCGTGAGTGGAAATAAAGCACATTTGAAAATTTGTTTGCACACACCAAGTCCGTTATGCAAATTATTCCATGTTTCCCACTATCGTTGATGCTCTGGCATAGTCTCCTAACTAGACAACGAATCCTTAAAATATTTCAATTCAAATAATTTACGGAAATTTGGTGTTTCAATTTTTGAAACACTTCAAACTTTTAAGAATCTAAATTAGCATTGAAATGTTACTGACGAGAAAAGAGTAAAGTGTAACTCCGGTTAAAGTGAATGTAATGATCGGATATGTCGTGTCTTTTTCCTTTCTTAAGATTCTAGATTCTCTTAAAAAAGTGAATAATGTTATGCTGTTAATACAAGAAAAAAATTACATCAAAGCAGTATAAACAATAGTACAGGTAGCTGTGGTTTACATCCCTAATGTGGGTATTCATCGATACGATTTTAGAAATCGATAAAAACTTAGAACTGCCATATTGAAACATGGAACATCTGGATTTTTCTAATGATTGATTCTTTCAACAACGTGTACGGATAAGCCAAACACCAAATTTCCGTGGATTATTTTAATTGAAATATTTTAAGGATTCATTGTCTAGTTAGGAGACTATGCCAGAGCATCAACGATAGTGGGAAACATGGAATAATTTGCATAACGGGCTTGGTGTGTGCAAACAAATTTTCAAAAGTGCTTTATTTCCATTCACGGTTGCAATTATGAGACTATATCATTAGAAAATAATGATTCATTGCCTAAATAACTAGGAGGATAGGAAATGCATGTAAATCAGTAAAAATCAATAAATTATTTTATTTTAAAAAGAACTATATGGTAACTTGCACTGTTTTTTTTTTACTCTATGCATGCCTTATGTGATTCTTATTTATTTACAACATTTATTCCCGTGACGTTTGATTTTAGTTTTAAATGCAACAATTATTCATGTGTCATGGTAGATGGAATGTTATTATTCAAGGCATATTGAGTCAAATACGAATGCCCTATCACATTTCATTTCAAAAGTAATCACCAAAATTAAAATCTTTGAAAATTACGTCAAACATGAAGGCAGAAATTAAAGGTCAAAAATCATAAAGTGCTCAGAAACACCTTGTTTCATGTAATTCACATTTCGAAAATGGCCCTGTTAAATTTCATATTAAAGGTCACAGAGTAAAAATCAAATTTGCGGAAAGGAAGTTAAATAAAAAATATTCATTAAGTTTTCAAACTTGGTAAAAGCATAAGGGTGCAGATTCTTTATTAAACTGATACACACGTGATCGTGTGAAATGAACATATTTTACGGGATAATCATTGTGCTTGTAATAATATAATTATAGGCATTGACAGCAAGACATCTGATGCCACCTGCACTGAAGTTAAATTGTTAATTGTTAAACATTTCATTACGGTCTCTTTTTCATACTTTGAATGTAAAAAATGATTATGAATCAAACTTTTCAATTATATGCCTGTCAAAAACGAAAAAAAAACCTAAAACAAGATATAGATTTAACATTCATTTGTCTGAAATGAATCAAAGTAGGGAAAGTATACATACATTGAAGCGATAAATGTTGATACCCATACATAAAGTTTTAATGACATGAAAGAACAAAATTGGGATCGCTTTCTAAGGCAATATTTAAAAAAAACAAAAATGATACCAAATACGACAGAAGCACGTATATTAATTTTCATATCAAAAATCAAAATAATATAATTCAGCAGCTGACATGGAAGGTAAAGGGAGGTCCAGGTACATTTTTCGATTTTCCGTACACAGCACATTGGTGCAAATAACATGGGCTTTCGTGCCATGCATATCTGACCTGTACCACGTGATTTCCATGCACACATGTCAAGAGTAACATGTGACGTCATCGCTACATTCATCCAATGGGTGTCACAAAATAGTTGCAAATCTTGCTTGTTTGATTAACGTTACACACCTAAACAGATAGATAAAAGACTTATTTATCAATAATTTCAATGACAAAATTGACTTAATTTGCGTGAAATTTCCATATACATTTCAAGAAATAAATTGCAAATAATAGTAGTCTAGTGAAGCTTTCTACCTCGAACCCTTTGTTCGATCTGACTTCAACAGATGTTAGTCCTCGTCCGTATTCTATAGTAAGATGGCGGTGAGTGAGGAGACGTAGGAAAAGGTCCTTCAAATTCTACCCCTTGATGATAAGCCACACCTAGTGTCCCAAGATACAAACGATAAGCTACATCATGCTTATATCGGGGATGAAAAATAGAGTTCTCTATAAATTGGTAGTTTGTAAGGTATGCATTCCTTCTTTTAAGATAAACACTATTCAGCTACTGATTAATTTTAATA